GGGTCCAGGCTAAAAGTCCTAACCCTCTAATCCTGCCTTGGTCTTTCTGGTGACCAGTTTTCATCTGAAGCCATTGATCATGTCATGTCAAAGATACTTATCCCTTTGAAGATCCAAGAATTTTAGGACTTGTATATCAGGTAAAGGAGACAAAGACCAAATATGTGTTTTATATCAATCACACTGGGCTTTATTTGCTAGCAGTATTTAAAATTTATTGGGAGGGGCCATTATGGACAGTAATTCACATTATTAAATTTTATTGGTATGTTTTCCTTGGTAATATATTAATTGTCCCCCCCACTTTTTTTTTTGTTTGATCCTATCTGCTAAGTAGTTATTCCCTACTACCCCCTTCAAAATCTTTGCCTAGTTCGCCAGTATTTTATGTCATGTATTATTTCCTTATACTAGTAAGATTAGAAGAGATCCTTCAGTCTGGAATAGTTGTCCTATCCTTTATGTTCCTGCTGTTTTCCTCCTACTCACCTATTCCAAGAAGTCATCTCTGATCACCCCTATTTGGAGCAGATATCCTTTCCTGTGTTCCCACTGCACATTATGATATCTTTAAATCACTCAACAAAATCATCTAGGTCTATCACAAGCCAGGAGTTAACAAAACATAACTCCTTGACCTTAAGAAATATAGAGGAGGCAGACAAGTAGATAAGAAAATGCAACATGATTGTATAACTTTCAAAAACTGATTACTATGTAGCAAGCATTGTGTTATGCACTTTGTGTTCATTATTTTGTGTCATTCTCTCAATAATCTTATGATCCTTATTTTACAGAGAAGGAAGAGAAATATAGAAGACTTCTGCGCTCTACCCTAACCAAGGTCAGTTAAGCCTCAGAATAGCTACCCAAATCCAGATCTAGAGCTCCTGTCCTTCCCCACTCTTCCTCTTGCCCCTACATGCATCAGTGCACTTGTTCTGTGTCTCAGGTGGTCTCAAGCACTATTCAAAGAATAGTGCCAGCGTAGGTATTTGGAAACTAATAATGACTTCAATTTTCATACAACCACTTTAACTGCTTCAGTATCTTCCCTTTGAGATTACAAAAGGAGCTGAGAATGGTGGCACATAGCTGTAATCCCAGCAACTCAGGAGGCTGAGACAGGAGGATCATAAGTTCAAGGCCAGCCTTAAGAATATAGAGAGGCCCTAAGCAACTTAGTAAGACCTTGTCTCAAAAAATAAAAGTGTTTGGGGATGTAGCTCCGCGGTAGATCCCCCACCCCCAAAGAAAAAAGTTTCCAAAAGGACACAGTATACTAACACATACAGTGCAACACAGGTAAAACAATGTATATTAAAAGTTACTCATCATGGTATTGCAGGTAATAGCAAGAGATTAGAAAGAACCTAAATGTTTTTCAATACAAAATTAGTTTAAAAAATCATGATATATTCATACAATGAAATTGTGCAGCTATAACAAATAATGAGGAAAGTATATACAGATGTGCAGTGATATAAAAAGCATGATGTTATATGGAATGAACAAGGTATAAAAGAAAAGGGACTTTATAAGGAATCAGTAGTTATGTTTCTTTCTTTTGGTGTTGGGGATTGAACCCAGGACCTCCTGCACTTAAAACATGAGCTCTACTACTGAGCTACACTGGAGCCCTAATAGCGTGTTTCTCTTTGTGATTGGAGAAAATGAAGGCAGTAAGACACTCTATCTGGGCTATGTATTTTGTGAGGTCATAGGCTATGCCTGCCTGATTCTCACAGTTGCTTTGTGCCTAGCTTAGTGTGCACTCAGTATTTGTGCAGACAAGGAACCAAGTTGAAAAAAAAGAAAATCGCAAATTCCCTTATTGGAAGGACTCATCTCTTTTGTGTTATTCCTGCTAAAAATATGCATCCTAAATCTAACCATGAAGAAACATCAGACAAACTGAAATTGAAGTACATTCTGAAAGATAAATGGCCTGTGCATTTCAAAAATGTCAAGGTCATAAATGACTTAAGAGAGCAGAAGACTATTGGATTGAGGGAGACTGAAGGAACATGACAATTGAATACACTGTGTAGGATGCCAGATTGGATTGGGGCCAGAAGGAAAAATATTTCTTTGGCTATAAAGGACATTAATTATACAGTTGACTATATTTGAATAAGGTCTATAAATTAGATAATTGAGCTGATCAAATTTAATGTTAACTTCTGGATTTTGATGATACTACTGGAATTATAAGAAAATGTTTTTGTTTTTAGGAGTGAGGCACTTAAGAATTTAGGGGTACAAGGTCATTGGGTCTGCAATTTACTCTCAAATGGTTCAGGTAGGGGAAAAAAAGAGAAAGAATAATAATAAAGCAAACATGGTAAAATGTTAGTATTTGAAAAATACAATAATTCTTTGTACTAGTTTTGTAACTTTTCTGTCTGAAATTATTTCAAAATAAAAACTTTTTTTTTTTTCTTTTGTAGTACTAGGGATTGTATCCAGGCTTTTGCACTTGGAGACACCCCATCACTGAGCTACATCTCACCCTTGAACTTGGTATCCTCCTGCCTCAGCCTCTCGAGTAGCTGGGATTTCAGGTGTGTAACAGCATGATTGGCTCTTTTTATAGATATTTATATTACTGGTGACATTTTTTTCCCTAGGTTTCTTAATATTTTTGTTTTTTTAAATAACAACTTTGTTGAGGTCTAATTACATACCATGTGCAATTCATCCTGAAGATCTTTTTACATAGATTTTAAATATTGCCACTATATAAGGGAGGCATTTTTCTAAAAATCAACTTTATAAGGGTATAATTTACATATGATAAAATTCACATATTTTGATTGAAGAGGTTGATGACTTTTTTTCTTTCTTTTCTGTCAGTACTGGGGATTAAAACCATTGTCTCGAGTTCAATCCGCAGCACCACAAAACAAACAAACAAAACAACAAAAAACCAGGGCCTCATATATGCTAAGCTAACAGTCTGAAACTGAGCTACATCCCCACTCTTTTTTATTTTTATTTTGAGACAGAATCTCACTAAGTTGCCCAGGCTGGCCTTAAATTTGTAATCCTACCTCAAGGTTTATGAGTTGCTCAGATTATAGATGTACACTACTAAACCTGGCTAGTTGATAACTTTTTTTTTTTTTATGGGGGATTGAACCCATAGGAACTTAACCACTGAGCCATTTCCCCAGCCTATTTTTATATTGTTTTAAAGACAGGGTCTGCTGAGGGTGACCTTGACCTATTTGATCCTCCTGCCTCAGCTTCCTGAACTGCTGTGATTACAGACATACCCCATCATGCCTGGCCTAGTTGATTTTAAATTTTTTTTTTTTAAGTTATAGATGGACACAATACCTGTATTTTATTTATTTATTTTTATGTGGTGCTGAGGATTGAACTTAGTGCCTCACACATGCTAGGCAAGTGCTCTATACTGAGCTACAGCCACAGCCCTAATTGATGACTTTTGATACATATATTCTCTATGTAACCATCACTCCAATCCAGATTCAAGATAAAAGATATTCCCATTTCTCCAGAAAGTTCTTTCATGCCCCGTTGTTTATACATTCAGTTTTTGGTGGACATGGGTGTTAAGTACTCTTTGAATGGGGAAAGGAAGAGTAAGGTGTATGCCAGGTGAGTGAGTGTGGGGGATGGTGTAGGAGGGGTGAGGATGGCAGGAACAGGCTCCTGAGTGACTCAGAAGATGGTTCCCATGCAATTTGGACACAGCAGTTCCTGTATTCCAGAGCTAGGCACAGACATAGGGTGTTCTAGTATCTTTCTTTTTTGGGATATATTTTGGTTCAGAGATTAGAGGATGTGTGGTCTAAAAATGTGCAATTAATAATGGAGAACATTCTGACTGGCAATTGGCTCATAGTCTTTCTTATCTGACTTTATTGGTGTTCTGATCATCTTACTTTTTCCTGTCTACGTCTGCTACTTTACTGGGAGATTGGGAAGAACTATCAGGTTGGCTGCTGCCATGTTAACACAGCATTTCTCATGTGATATCTAAAATGTCAATAACTTATTGTTAAATAGGAAGATTATTGCTTTAAAAGTCTATTTGGAAAGGAATAAGACCTTAAGATGTAGATTTTATGCATATTGATGCTTAGTAAAACTTGATTTGGTCATTGATCATTCCTGTACTGACCAAATGGGAAACAAAATTTATATTTTCACTCACAAATTGTGACCCAGAAAGTCTAGTTCTCTATACCTGTCATTTTCCCCCTTGTTTTATGTCTGCTATTATTATTCTATTCATATTAAGGAGAGATGGTATAGGCAGGTAGTGTCTACCAGAAAAAAGCTTGGGCTACACAGTGATCAGATTAGGTTATGAACTTATAATTTGCCTGTGTTTAATGTCTGGAAAACTGTTCTCAAGATAACTAAAATTACCTTCAGCATTTTTAATGATGGTTACAGTATATATACAGTGTATATACATTTACACTCTTCCTGACGAGTGCCTAGAACACACCAAACACACGATACATGGTATTATTATTCTAAATGATTTCTTCATTTGCTCAGGTGTATTGTCTTTTTTTTTTTTTTTTTTGGTGGGGTATCGGGAATTAGAACTTAGGGACACTTGACCACTGAGCTTCATCCACTATTTTGTAGGTTGTTTTGAGACAGGGTCTCACTGAGTTGCTTAGTGCCTCGCAGTTGCTGAGGCTGGCTTTGCACTCGCAATCACCCTGTCTCAGACTCCTGAGCCACTGGAATTATAGGTGTGTTGCCTTTTTTTATTTTTTTTATTTTTTTAAAGATGTTGATGGACCTTTATTTAATTTTATTATATTTATTTATATTTGGTGTTGAGAATCGAACCCAGTGCCTTATACATGCTAGGCAAGCACTCTACTACTGAGCTACAACCAGAGCCCGGTGTGTTGCCTTTTAACAAAGCTTTTTCTCCCCTTTCTTTGATAAAAAGTAATTAATTAAAATACATTGTCTCTTCCCAGACACACTGCAGAGAGACCTTTCTGTCCTTCCTGAGCGCACAGATGCTGGACAGATGATTGTCCTCTGCCCTGTGCTGCTGTAGGTGGCCCAGACTTGGAGCTGTCCAGCAGGAAAGTATGGATTCCAAAGATGAAAGCTCACACGTGTGGCCGACGTCTGCAGAGCATGAACAGAATGCCGCACAGGTGAAGGGTGTTCTCTTCCAGCTGGCTAATGATAGCAGTGTTTTTGTTGGGTTCAGTTTGCTGATAGCTAAAGAAATAATAGCTACTCTATAGTAATGAGTAGTTGGGAGGGAGTTGACAGGAAGAACTTGTGCATAGCACTCTGAATGCTCCATTGCCATGTTTCACTGTGATTTAGAAAAACCCATATCCACTCCCCCACAGTCTTGGTTCCCTGCCCCAGGCTTCTCTGCCTTATTTGCAACTTAGTTTCAGTTTTTAGACCCTACTTTATTTTTCATTTTTGGTGTTGAAAGCCTCAAACTGTTGTTTCTATTATGCCATTCAGTATAAGGTTTCGATTCTATGTGAGTTATAAGATAACAATGTATGTTTATAAAGTGAGTGGCCTTTTCTTTTAAATTTAAAATGTAAACTTCTAAATGCAAATTGTCCCATTATGAGTCACAAATTTTGGTTAGTCATTTATTCAAATACTATTGTCATTGATAATCTCTGGCTTTTTCTTTTCTGTTAGCTTTCTCTCTCCCTCTCTCTCCCTCTCTCTCCTTCTCTCTCCTTCTCTCTCCCTCTCTCTCTCCCCCTCTCCCTCCCTCTCTCCCCCTCTCCCTCTCCCCCCCCCCCCCCACACCTCTCTTTCTTTCTTTATCCCAGGGGCACTCTACCACTGAGCTATATCCCCAGCCTTTTTAAATGTTTTTTTTTTAAAAAAACATTTTTAGATGTTGATGGACCTTTATTTTATTCATTTATTTGTATGTGGTGCTGAGAATTGAACCCAGTACCTCACACATGCTAGGCAAGTGCTCTACTATTGAACCACAACTCCAGCCTCAATCCCTAGACTTTTATTTTATTTTGAGACAGGGTCTTGTGAGATTGCCTGAGGCTGGCCTCCAGCGTGCTTTCCTGCCTCAGCTACTTCCTGAGTTGCTGCCTGGCTGATCTTTACCTTTTGACTTGCTGGTGGAACCAGCTGCATTTTCTTTTTCTTTGCAAAGGGGACTCATATGTTGCTCAAGCTGATCTCAAACTCCTGAGCTCAAGCAATCTGTGTGCCTTAACCTCCTGAGTGTCTGGGACTACAGGCTCGTGCCACAACCACCTGGATTCACCTGCATGTTCTTTTGACTTCTTGGTAGAGGCACATCTCTGCATTTTTTTTTTTGGTGTGGATTTGAATTTGGAATGGGTCAGCAGTACTAGGGAGCCATGTTTTATTTGTGACCAAAGTATAAAACTTAATTTTTATTCATTAGGATAAATGTGAAGTTTTTGTTCAAATTTTTATTCAGTCACATAACTACAGTACTATCATAAAAATCAGGAAGTCAACATTGAAACATTCAAATAGGTAAGTCTTATTTAATTTAAGCAATATCATTTATATTATAATATGTAAAACTGATCATCTGCTATGAATTAAAAGTCTCAGTCTGAAAACTTAAAAAACAGCAGTTGTAGCTGGGTGCAGTGGCACATGCCTGCAATCCTAAGACTTAGGAGGCTGAGGCAGGAAGGTCACAAGTTCAAGCCCAGCATCAGCAACTTAGCAAGAACCTGTTTCAAAATGAAAAATAAAAAAGACTGAGGGTGTAGCTCATAGCTCAGGGTAAAGCACCCTGGGTTCAAACCCCAGTACAAAAAAAAAGAAAAAAAGAGAGACAGTTTCATAGTGTTCTCATATATTTTGCTTATCAAAAAGCAAAACAAAGGTGAATATGGTTGTGATGTGGTATATAACCAGAGTCCCTATCTCTGGATAACCAAATAACAGATAGCTAAGGCCAGGAATCCTCCATTATATTCTCTCTCTCTCTCTTTTTTTTTTGTACTGGGGATTGAACTCAGGGGCACTCCACTACTGAGCCACATCCCCAGCCCTTTTTTTAATTTTATTTAGAGATAGGGGCTTACTGAGTTGCTTAGGGCCTCAATAAGTTGCTGAGGCTGGCTTTGAACTCATGATCCTCCTGCCTCAGCCTTCCAAGCTGAGGGCCACCTCGCCTGGCCCCTTATATTTTTTTTTTCCTAGTCATTCATGCTCTTGGCTAGGAAATCTGATTCTGGTGGTTTTTTTTTTTTTTTTAATTCTTCAAATTCTGATTGGCAGAATCTGAGTGAGGAAGACCAAGCAGAAAAGTTTATATCTTAGATGGCTCATCTTTTTGGGAAATGTTTTTTCCTTCTTTAAGCACTGGACCTAGTTCAAAGCTTTGTTAATGAACAAATCTGTATAAACTTTATCTTCATGGATAAATCAAATTTACATAGAAGACAGACTAATCATTTAGTATAGAAGTGGAAGTTTGCTGTATTCCTGTGATGTTTAATTTACGTTTGGCTTCTGGGTTTCTTTCTGGGGATTAAGTTAGTTTATATCCGCTTTGGAATCTATTTCCCCACTGGAGAAAACTGACAAAAATGTTAGGTCCACTGCCAAGGCAGTGGAACGGTAAGGGTCCTAACCTGAAAGCGTGATTTCCACATCAGTACATAAATGATCTCTCTCCTAAATGTGTACTTCAAGCATCTGTTTCTAGACCTTCAGTCTTGGGCATTAGGCCACATTCCAAGCTGTAGCCCTCATAAATGCAGTCCTACATGCTGACCATTCAGAAAGTATTTTATAAAACTCAAGTTTTTGCTTTTAGTTCTTTAGGTTTTGGAAGATAGAAAATTGTTTACCCTGATGACAACTAAATATTTGTCTAGAACCCCTTAAAAGTTTTTTATAAGGATTTTCTGTGTGTTTACCTCGCTGGCAAAGAAGAGTTTTGTTATTCATTTATTGATTCTGCTGACATTTCCTGATATGCCTCCAGTATGTTCTTTTAGTGTGAAAGAACTTACAGGAAAGAATATGGACTTATTTAAAAAATTTTTTTTTAGTTGTAATTGGACATTATACCTTTATTTTACTTATTTATCTTTTATGTAATGCTAAGGATCGAACCCAGTGCCTCGCATGTGCTAGGTGAGTGCTGTACCACTGAGTCACAACTCCAGCTCCTAATATGGCCTTATTTTAATAACTAACTTAAAGGAACTGTTATAAAATAGATTTTTTTTGTGATATGCTGAGAGCAATTGGCTTTTGAGGTCTTGACATATTTGTTCACATTGCAGAATAATTTGTATTTTATATTTTTTTTTGGTGTTGTCAAAGAGGAATCTGCAGTCACTTTTCCAGGATCAATTAACCCCCTACCACCTATGACTCCCCAAAGGAGTTATCTGCATTGGACATTTGAGGCAGAGGAATTTAAGTCATTCTCTCACATTAAGTGATAAATCTATGACACAGTTCTTACACTCTGTCTCCTAGTATCTTAGATGGAACTGCCTAAATTCTCATTCTTTCATTGGGGATATTTTAGGAGTGCAAATGTGCTTGGTTGGCTATGTACCTTTGTGAGATTGATTTCTTTTTACAAGATTAATTGCTATAACTTGTCTTGTTTTTTTGCACCAGGTGCACTTTGTTCCAGATGCTGGAACTGTGGCTCAGATTGTCTACACTGATGACCAGGTCCGTCCACCCCAGCAGGTGGTGTACACGGCAGATGGTGCCTCCTACACTTCAGTGGATGGTCCCGAGCACACACTAGTATACATCCATCCTGTGGAAGCTGCACAGGCATGTGAAGAATTAGTGTTTTTTAATTTGTTAATTAATTAATTAATTCAGCAATTACTTATATTTATTCTATGCCAGTCATTATGCTAGGTACTGGTGAAGCAGGTAACGTTCAGATAAGATTTATGTTCTCAAGGAGCTCATAACCAACTCATCAGAGGAAGAGATCGTTCATTTAATTTAAATTAAGGCTAATAAGTATTTAGAGCACTAGTTTTATATCAGTTCTTCTCTCTAGTGACTAGATTGTGAATTTATTACTTTTTTTGAGTATCAGTAACCAGGCATTTAGTTCTATATAGCTTAATCATAGATGGTTCAGTGAAAATGTATTGTTTATTTCAGTTAAATGTATAAGCAAAAAGTTCTAATAGCTTATTAAATACCCTTTATTAATAACCTACTGATTCTTAGTCTATAACAGAAGCCATTGTGTTTACTGGTAAAAGCTGTACAATTTTAGCTACTTTAATTTTTTTCCCAGTGGCTTGAACTTCCCAAAGATACGACCCTAGTTTACAAATGTTATTTTCTATTGTTCATACTTTACAACGTGTAAAGTACCTTTAAACATGTTTTTTTTTTTTTTTTTATATCCCCAGCCCCCTGGTCTGGGTTTTGTGCCGCTCCTCCATGTTTTTATGTGTTAATGTTGAACCTAGGGCCTTGTGCTTGCTAAGCACATGCTTTACCATGAGCCTATTCCCAATTGCCAAACACATGTTTTTAAAAAACAAATTATATACTTTGTGGTAGGATCCTGATAATAAAATTCGCCCCTCATACAATATTTAATCAAGAGACTTCCAATCACTCGCAAGAAGATATGAGGCTCACCTAGTTAATACTTTTCTAATCTATATAATGATGAAATTGCCAAATACTTTGATGGTACTTTTGGAATTCCTCTGCTTAGGTTTAGTCCTCTAACTCTATTAAAATAAGACCACATAATTTATGAAAAGAATGTCCTGTGCCCAACTATAGTTTATTATGATGTTACTAAACATCTAAAGTTTTTAAAAAAATATTTATTTTTTTAGTTGTAATTGGACACAATACCTTTAATTTTATTTATTTATTTTTATGCTGTGCTGAGGATTGAACCCAGGGCCTTGCACATGCTAGGCAAGCGCTCTACCACTAAACCACAACCCTAGCCCCTAACATCTAAATTTTGATAATTTAAAAAAGTCAAATATGAGAAATCTGATCCTGCCTGAAACCGTTCTTTACATTTCTCTGGAATTAAAATTTAACCATAGGATGCTGGAGTTGTGGCTCAGTGGTAGAATGCTTGCCTAGCACATGTGAAGCACTTGGTTTGATCTTCAGCACCCCATAAAAATACATAAATAAAGGTATTGTGTCCATCTACAACTAAAAAAAAAAATTTAAAAAAGATTTAATCATAGTTCTTATTCCCGTAAGTTTGTTAAAATCTTGGGCAAATTAAAATCTTTTAAAAGCTTTAGAAGAGAGCGTATTTTTTGGGGTCAGGATGTTAACCATGGTGCCTTGGCTATGATATAGTCTTGAAGATTTTCTTACTTTGCTGCAGTATGACCCCACTAATTGTTATCACTTTTTCTTAACTTGTATTGTGACTTTACTGGCTTTTTCCAAACCTATGGGACATTAAGTTCAATTTATATTACTTCTACTTCTCTTCTGATAATAAACATGAGTTTGTATTTGATAGCATTGAAAACCCTGTTTTTATGATAATCTTCTCTGTGTCTATATATCTCCTTCCATTTTCTTTGAATCACAAATCTGTTCCAGTGAATGATGTTATGTGAATATATATATATATATATATATATATATATATATATATATATAAAACACCTTGTTCTTACATGTCTTGTATATTTTCATGACATACCATTTTAATTAGGTATGACATTCAACCTCAAGATAGGCTTTGGTTAAAAGTAAAATAGTGAAACATGTTAGCCATGTGAGATCGTTAGACATACCATCTCATTGGAGCCATCTGAATGAAAAGCTTTCTTTAGCCAAATGTAAGATTGCTATCTATCTTCTTTATTAATGAAGAATTATCAGCTATGATGGTAGATAACTCTCCTAAGCATTGGTGCTTAGCAGTAGTATGATTTTTCCTGTGTAGGCAAATGTCTAAAGATCTATTGATAATTTTTTTTCTTTTTTTGTTGGTCTAGACTCTGTTTACAGACCCAGGCCAGGTAGCTTATGTCCAACAGGATACTACAGCTCAGCAGGTAATGACTTACGTTTTTGTTGTTTGTGGATAATACTGTGACTGTCAGTTCCCTGGAATTTTCCTCTAATCCTCTGCCTGGTGCTATTTCTGAATATTTTTTTCTTAAATACTAAGAACATTCTCTGAGAGCTTCTTTTCATGGAAACAAAGCAAAACGTAACATAATACTAACACACTCCAGTCAGTAAATATTAGAATGGCTGGTAATAAAAAGTGATTTGTCAGAGAAGTTTTTTTTTTAAAAAAACAAAACAAAACATATACTGGAGAGGCAGAATCACTTGAGCCCAATAGTTTGAGATCAGTCTGGGCAACATAGTGAAACCCCCATCTCTAAAAACCAAAAAAGGATATAAGCAGTACATTGGTTCATGCTCCAAAGAATAATCATGAAACTTTTTTCTTTTCGTACTAGGGATTGAACCCAGGGTCTAACACATGCTGGGCAAGTGCATTGCCATTGAGCTATATCCCCTACCCTTTTTATTTTTAGACAGGGTCTCACTACATTGCCAAAGTTGGATTTCAACTTGCATACTTCCTGCCTCAGCTTTTCCAAAAACTGGGATTACAGAGATGCACCACCTTGCCCCCTGCTAATGATGAGTTTTTAATGTGTCTTTTTTTTTGGAAATGTTTTTGTACTTGTTCTATTTTTAAATACTGAAGAAATATTAGCTTAAATTATATTTCAATTTGGTGATAGCCTTCCTCATTCTGGCTTCTGAAAAACTGAAATTCTTCTTGATTTTCTCTTCTTTTTTAATACTGTAAAGAACACTATCATGGATGTTATATTAGATTATTTCCTTTGGCTAAGTCTCCCAAGGAGGAATGGTAGAGACAAAAGATATTCACATTTTAAGTTATTTAAGAACCAAGTTTGGGCTAGAGGGTGTAGCTCAGTAATAGAGTGCTTGCTTAGCATATACACGGCTCTGGTTTGGATCCTCAGCATTGAAAATAAAAAGAAATAAGAACCAAGGTTTTATTTGAAAGTGCGTAAAAATACAGGAATAAAAATCAAATAAAGGCCTAGAATCCCAAATTTGAATTGGAATATCAATACGAACTCAAGATATATTTTTTCTTCCAAAAAAACAAAAACAAAAAAAACAAAAACATGTTATCAGGACTGGGGTGTAGCTCAGTGGGAGAGCATATGTATTGCATGTATGAGACCTGGATTTGATCCCCAGCACTGCAAAAAATGTTCTGTAGTTCTGGTCACTGCAGAGGTGTAGAGACATAAGGATCAGTCTCGTATTACCGAGCATCCCTAACACCCCTCAGTGTGGTCTCTAAGTACAGATCTCCAGTATAAGGAATTAGAGCTTCTTGAAGAAATGTCAGATTTCAAAACTAGGGGAAGGAATATATAAGATGAATTTGGAGCATCTCATCTTCTCAGAATGCAAAGGAGTTGTTAAAAACTTCTGGTGTCCTACGGAAGCAACTCAAGATGTAATTTGCAGGGGCCAAAATAGGACAATTGATCTGTCAGAAAGGCTAATATCTATAATCGATTAAAAGTACTTAAATATACTTATAGTCTGCATATTCGTTTTGATATTGAAAGAAATAACTCATTGGTCACTTTTTTCATGATGCTAGGGACCACCACATTATCCTGAAAACTGGTAAATGAAGGGAATGAAGTACTTTCTCTCTGGAAGTATTCAAGTAACCAGTTACTTCATGAAGGACCTTCCTTCATTCGTTCGTTCGTTCGTTCCTTCCTTCCTTCCTTCCTTCTTCCCTTCCTCCCTTCCTCCCTCCCCCGCCTCTTTCTCTTTCTCTTTTATTTGTTCTTTTCAGATATACATGACAGTAGAGTGTATTTTGACATATCTTATGTACATGGAGTATAACTTATTCTAATTAGGATCCCATTCTTGTGGTTTTACATGATGTGTAGTTTCACTGGTGGAAATTTTTTTTTCCTTCTTAATATTTATTTTTTAGTTGTAGTTGGACACAATACCTTTATTTATTTTTATGTGGTGCTGAGGATCGAACCCAGGGCCTCACACGTGCTAAGCAAGCGCTCTACCGCTAAGCCACAACCCCAGCCCATGGTGGAAATTTCTTTATAGAAGCATTCCAACTAATAAATATAGCACCATTTGCATTCCCTAATGACATATGAATCTAGGCAGTGATTAGCAACAGCATACTAAAACCACTAAGAAAAGTTGGTTTTAGAGAGGAATTTTATAATAAATCAGAATAATAGCAACTTAAACCTCTGACCCTTCTTAGTATTGCTAGAAGAGAGAAAACCATTCATTACATGCCTCCTGGTGTTGGGTACTTCTGACATTACTGTATACCATGTGTGAAGTATTCATCCCCCCAAAATCAAACCTGAATCTGATTGAGTCTCTAGATTCAGCTGCCAGATTATAGGGAGCATGGTTCACTAATGAAGTTAAAAAGACACACAAGATTGTAATTAGCAAAATCTAACCTGTGGGAAACTCTAGAATAAATGGTCTGGCTTATTTATTCATTTGTTCTTTTGCTGGGGATGGAACTCAGTGCTTAATATATGTTAAAGAAGTGCTCTGTCACTAAGCTACCCCCTTAGTCCTTGACTTTTTTTCCCTACAAATAAAACACAAGCAAAAAGAGGAGGTAAGAGAGCTAACAGATTAAGAGGCTTTAGGAACATTATTAGTTAGACGCAATATATGGTCCTTGTTTGGAAACTGATTTGAACAAACTGAAGGTAAAAATATTTATGAGACAATTGGGGAAATAGTATTACTAACTGGATATTGATAACACTAAGACAATTTTTTTAGATATAATATATGAAATATAAAATAATTTTGTAGATATATATTAAACTATTTACAAATGAAAATGTATAACATCTAGGTTTGCTTCAAAATAATCTAGAGAGGAAGAAAGTGTAGGAGATTAGTTAGATGTAAGATGGGCTATGACACTTCTCAGAAGATGATGTACAATCAGTCAACAAATGCATGAAAAAATGTTCATCATCGCTAGCAATTAGATAAATGCAAATCAAAACCACTCATCTCACTCCAGTCAGAGTGGCAGCTATTCATACAAATAACAATAAGTGTTGGTGAGGATGTGGGGGAAAAGGTACACTCATACACTGCTGGTGGAACTGCAAATTGGTGCAGCCAATATGGAAAGCAGGATGGAGATTTCTTGGAAAATTGGGAATGGAACCACCATATGACCCAGCTATCACTCTCCTTGGTCTATACCCAAAGGACTTAAAAACAGCATACTACAGGGACACAGCCACATGAATGTTTATAGCAGAACAATTCACAATAACTAAACTGTGGAGCCAACCTAGATGCCCTTCAATAGATGAATGGATAAAAAAATGTGGCATATATACACAATGGAATATTACTCAGCCATAAAAGAGAATAAAATCATGGCATTTGCAGGTAAATGGATGGGTTAGAGAAGAAATGCTAAGTGAAGTTAGCCAATCTCAAAAAACCAAATGCCGAATGTTTTCTTTGATATAAAGAGGCCGATTCATAGTGGGATAGGGAGAGGGATTGGAGGGGAAGGGAGGGAGCATGGGGTTATTAATGATGGTGGAATGTGATGATCATTATTATCCAAAAGTACATGTATGAAGACACGAATTGGTGTGAATATACTATGTATACAACCAGAGATATGGAAAATTGTGCTCTATATGTGTAATAAGAATTGTAATGCATTCTGCTGCCATATATAAATTAAAAAAAAGATGGGCTATGAGTTGATAATTATTGAAGTAGAATGGCAAGTGCATTAGGTTTATCATAATATTCTCTATTTGATATATTTTTGAAATTTGTTTTTACAAATGGAAAAAACTATTTTGATAAGACTTTAAGTTGCTTTTGGATACTGAAAAAATGGATATTCTTGGGGCTGGGGTTGTGGCTCAGTGGTAGAGTGCTCACCTTGCATGATTGAGGCGCTGAGTTCGATCCCGCCACAACATAAATGTAAAATAAAGATCTTGTGTCCACTTAAAACTAAAAAATATTTTAAAAATGTATATTTTCACCCAAAATATATGAGTATGCCAGTTTTCATGCTGCCTTGCCACATTGGTTATTTACATTCTTTTCAAATTTTGCCAATCTGATAAGCAATATCAGATTGGCAGATTTGTTGGTCAGAGGATTTTAATATTAAGGCATAGATTTAATTAAAGGACTTGTTGCTGTTTGCACTTCAAAGCACCCTTCATCTTTTCCAATCTCCAGAAACAATCTACTTACTTCATGTTTTGTACAAAAGGAAAGTTGCTCTTATCCCCATGAATCCTGGCATTGTAAAGGCAGTGTAACTGTTGTGTTAGCATCTTTCTTTTCCTTTTCCTTTTTTTTTTTTGATGCTGAGAATGGAACTCAGGGCTTAGTGCATGCTAGACACATGCTCTATCTCTGAACTACACCCTTAGCCCCAGCATCTTTCTTTATTGTAGTTTCCTTTCAATCAGCACAGCTTTTATTTCTGGTTTTCATACCTCGGCAGTTGTCATTCTACGTGGTGACCTGGATAAATTCTGGATAGAAAATTGGGATGAGGGTTTAACACAGATGATATTTGCATTTGTTATTGTTGCCTTAGTGAAAAGGTTTCTATTTCCAATTGTTTTTAGTGGTAGCAAAATCTGTTTAAAGTCCTTTTCATATGTGCCTTCCCTTGTCCTTAAGAAAAGCATGCATAGTCTCTAGACGTGAAAGCACAGTCTCCACTTTGTTTCTGAAAATGAACATGTGTGACTCCCCACACACTGAGAAGAAAATATGCTGCACTGATAATTGGTCTCAGTAGGAACCAAGAAGCCTTCTGTCGTGTTTGCTGCTGTCCAGTGGCGTTTCATATTCCACTTCTCAGATAAATTGTATCCTAAAATACATTGTGTAGCTTCAGAAATAATTATAGAGTGGCATTAAATGGAAGAAGAAAGAATACCATAATTTAAACCAATTCCTTTTCCTTTTACTGTATTTGATTGTACATGACAACACATATAGACACTAAAATAATTTCATTTCTTATTCTTTTCCTGTAAATAAAATAGCACATGTTGCTTACCAACTCACTGCCTGGCTAGTACCTTAGGAGCATGTGTGTTGCCCTGGCATCCAAGTTTACCTTTTCTGCCCTGGTTGGATAGATTGAATTCCAAATTCTGAATTCCCTGGGGGCCATTGTGATGAAGTAGAAAAAGCAGGGCAGAGGCAAAATTTGAATTTCACTCTGCCTTTTAGGAGCTGTGTGATAACACTTGGACTCAAAGGAATTTAAATATATTCCTGGCACTCAGTAAATGTCAGTTGAATTTGAATCAGACAAATTTGCAGTGCATCCTACTGTGTGTTCAGGTCTATACTCGCTAGAAATACATAGCTCTTATCTAGACACGATCATCAACCCCCCCACCCGGGCCCACCCCAGCCCTTCAACAGTAGTTTTCTTGGTTCTGGTGTACATTCAACTGCTTTAGCATGAGTCCTTAAAAGATAATGTGGAAGTATTCAAGTCTTTCCTTTGACAGTCTTTTGGGAGTATCCCAGCATGGGGGAGGTGAAGATTGTGGTGATATTTTGATGTCAGCTTTCTCAGCACTGGCAAGAAACCAACAGCTACCTTACTGAATGAGAGTCCTGACAGCATTTATTGGGAACAAAATATATATCATCTTAGCTTTTCTAGTATAACTCTGAATTGCTGAATTCATTCTTCCAGGATGTCCTGGCAGAGAGATAAAGAATTTATGAGGAGCAGAGGTGTTTGTATGCTTTGGTTTGTTTAGTGTGTGATAACATTCATCACTAATGCTGGCATGAAATTTAAGTGGTTTAGAATAAAGGGTGACAGAGTAAACAGTGCTCTGAAATGGGGAGAATGAAGTAGCTTTCTTGTAGGATGTGATGAGGAGGCCAAAGCCATTGCATTGCCAGAAGTCCCCTGTCCTCTTTTTGTCTCCATGTCCCCTTGTTCTCACCCTCAGGCAGTATTTTCTTCTGTTTCTGTTGAAGCTGAGGCAGGCTGGGAGTGGTGACTTGTCCCCAGACCTTTTTATATTTTATTTAGAGAGACTCTTTAAGACTCTTTAAGCAACTCTTGCTGAGTTGCTTAGGGCCTTGCTAAGATGCTGAGGTTGGCTTTGAACTCATGGTCCTCCTGCCTCAGCCTCCTGAGCCACTGGGATTACAGGCATACAACACTGTGCCTGGCTGAGACCTCATCTCTCTCTCTCTCTTTTGAGGTATTGGGGACTGAACTTAGGGGAACTCAATCATTGAACCATATTCCCAGCCCTATTTTGTCTTTTATTTAGAGACAGGGTCTCACTGAGTTGCTTAGTGCCTTGCCATTGCTGAGGCTGGCTTTGAACTCGTTATCCTCCTGTCTTAGCTTCCCAAGCTGTGAGACCTCATCTTTTAATAAAAGTGTTTTTAAAAATTAAAAATAGTAAAAATAAAACATGTATTCTAGGGGTGGGGATGTGGCTCAAGCGGTAGCGCGCTCGCCTGGCATGCGTGTGGGTTCGATCCTCAGCACTACATACAAACAAAGATGTTGTGTGCACCGAAAACTAAAAAAATAAAAAATAAAAAAAACCAAACAAATAAACATGTATTCTATTTGAGGTAGCTGATTTTATGTGATTTTTGGGGCCAGAGTGTTTCAAATATTGAGCAGTGGTCTTTAAACTATCCCAACAGGCTGTGTTCTATAAATACATTCAGTACTGTTTCTTCATAGATTTAGATGCATAACAACAGCAATAACAAAAGAATGTCTCTGTGAATAGTAGCAAAGAGTTTTTCTAGTTGCCTGAAGGGATTGAAGTCATTTCCCAAAAGGCCACATATAGTTCAACAAACTATATTCACACAGTCTTAGTTGAACAAATACTCTATGCTCAGCAATATTGTCTTTTAAAGTTATAGAGGAAGTATATGATGTCACCTTGGTCCTTTTTTTTTTTTAAAGAGAGAGTGAGAGAGGAGAGAGAGAGAATTTTTAATATTTTATTTTTTAGTTTTCGGCGGACACAACATCTTTGTTTGTATGTGGTGCTGAGGATCGAACCCGGGCCGCACGCATGCCAGGCGAGCGCGCTACCGCTTGAGCCACATCCCCAGCCCGTCACCTTGGTTCTTAATGAAGTTAAGATTATAATTATAATAATTACGCTGAGTACTAAGTGCCAACGATGCTGTTACTGCCCTTACATGTATATTGTTTCACTTTATCCTCACAACAACCATTTTGGTATATATTCATGTGTCCATTTGACAAATGATGAAACCGAGGTTCAGAGAAATTTAATAACTTGCTAAGTAGTGGGGTCAGGACTCTTTCTAAAATCTGTCTGATTTCTGAGACCATGGTTTACTTCCTAAGGCATAGTTGGACAGCCAAGATGGACTTGTGGAAGTGAATACTCAGGGACAAAGCAGATGGTGGTTGGCAATGGATACAAGGCTATGAGGAATGGCTAATGTGTGAGATGTCAGAATCAAAATTCTCAAAGATCTTAGCAGACTGGAATAACAGGAGTAATGAAATTCATTGGAGATAAATGCAAAATCCCCCTTTTAAGTAAAAAAGCAGCTATTTAAGTCCTGAGGAGGGGAAAGATGGTTTAATAAACTCTGTGAGGGGGAAAAAAGGACTTGGCAATTAATTTTAATTATTGGCAAGTTCAGGTTCAGTTCATACTGGAAGAGTAGATGTCATAGATGCTAATACTGTTTGATGCTATATTCATAAAAATATGGAATCCATTGAGAAATAAATGAAGGCAAGAGGATCAGAGACCTGGTAGTTCAGGCATGTGAGGAATGATTGAATGAATTAGGGGTTTTTGGTCCTCAAGTGTTTAGTTCACATTGCTGAAGGATTAGACTTATTCTACCTAATTCCAGAGGAAAGTCCTAGGCCCTGACCAATGAATGGAAGATGTGTGTGGGGAGATTTGGACTAAGCAGAAGCTGTTGGGGCTATCCCAGAATGATCTGGGCTGCCTGGTAAGGAAATGAGGCTCAGGGTTGTGGAGATCTGGATTCTGTGACTCTTAAATGCTATAGGAATTTGGAACATAGGGGGTTTAGTCAGAGAGGCCTAGAAGCAACATATAGGGCTCATTGGGAAACTGAAACATAATTTGATTTAGAAGATTGGTGAGGGAAGAACATTCTAGGAGAAGAAAATGGTATATGAGAAGTAGAAAGAAAAGGGAGTAGATATATTTAGATGCTTGATTCATTGAATAGGGAAGGGTACATGACATGAATATGACCTATGAACTAATTGGGCAGGAGAGATAATACTGAATAAAAGGAATCTAGGGTATAATATAACTTCATAACACATGAGAAGCAGGAGAACTTCTTTTTTTTTTAATTTTTATTTTTTAGGAGAACTTCTTAAGGTGCCATTTATTTTCTACCCATGTATTTGATGAGATAATATTGATCCAATATGTCACCCAAATCTTGTTTTATTTGCAAGAGCCTGACTTCAACATCAGGAAGCCAATAGGTATCTCCTTTGTTCCTTCCTGAAAACCTTAGCTCCCTGAAGTGTTTGAAAGGAGACTTGTCAACCATAGAATTAAACCAACCATGTATTGTACCATGTTTGGATTTAAAAGTGAAGTAGGTGGGGGCTGGGGATATAGATTAGTGGTAGAGCACCTGCCCAGCATCCTAGCATAGGGAGACCCTAAGTTCTATCCTCAAAACTGGGGGAAAAAAAGTGGTGGAAGTAAAGCTGACTGGGTGCACACCTATAGTTCCAGCTACTCAGGATGCTAAAGCAGGGTATCACTTGAGCCCAGGAGTTTGGGGCTGGCTTGGGGAACATAGCAAGACCCCATCTCTTGAGGAAAAAAAAAAAAAAGAGCCAGGTGCTATGGTACAGTTCTATAATCCCAGCAACTTGGGAGGCTAAGGCAGAAGGATTACAAGTTCAAGGCTGGCCTCAGCAACTTAGTGAGACCCTATCTCAAAATAAAAAAATAGAAAGGACTGGGAATGTAGCTCAGTGGTAAAATGTCCCTGGGTTCAATCCCCAGTACAAACAAAAACAAAAACAAAGTGGTTGAAGAGTGGCCAAGTCATTCTCTCCTTTGTGTGGTGGTATCCTGAAAGGGCAGGTGGGACCTTCACCCCAGATTTAGTTTATACTGTGAAGACTGAGGATCCCCCATACCCCAAGAGATGATGAAAAGATGTTGCATATTCTGGAAGTCTCTGAGGAAGCATGGTGGTCCTCTAGAGCAGGTGTGAATTGACTTGTGGGTGCAATTCAAGGAATAGAGCCTTGGCATCACTGCGTCTAAAGGATGGAGTTAGATGCTTAAGATTAGGGCCTTGTTAGGTTTGAATCTCCTGCTGGAATCAGAGGAGAGAGACCCAGGCTTTCTTCTTAGCCTTTCAGATAACAGGCAGAATGGGAGGAAAGAGAGCTGAGCTTAAAAGCTGTGAGCATCAGACATCTGAAAGAGTCAGACTATTTCTTACAGCCTACAGGTAGAAACCATTTTTCCATTTTCCTTGCCAAGAACTAGTTTAAAGAATATATTCCACCACAGCCTATCCTCTGTGTATGCATGTGTGCCAACTGACTGAAAGCAGATGTCTGCTTATTTTCCACCTTAAACTTCCCTCCAGGCCTCATTACCTGTGCATAACCAGGTACTGCCTTCCATTGAAAGTGTGGATGGTTCTGACCCTTTGGCAACTCTGCAGAATCCAATAGCTAGACTGGAGGCAAAAGAAGAAGAGGAGGAGGAGGAGGATGAGGATACTGAAGAAGAGGAGGAAGAAGACGGTGAAGACACAGATTTGGATGACTGGGAGCCAGACCCACCCCGGCCCTTTGACCCCCACGACTTGTGTAAGTGCAGTCACTGGACTCTCAAAGGAAGCCACATGATCTTTTTTATGAGTGTGTGTGAATGTGAACATGGCTCATTTGCACTGAATCCTTCCCACATCCCACACATTGTGTCACATGCTCTGTGTGCATCATCCCACTTCATCTTCACAGTAGCCCAGGGAAGGAGTCATGACACTTGTATTTGTTTTCCAATTTTCCTGATGAGGAAACAAGCCCAGAATAGGTTAGGCAACTGCTCTGGGTGACATGGGGTGAATGGCTGATGAGGCATCTGAGTCTGGTCACTCTTGATACCAGCTTTCTATTGTAGTTGACCTAGTCCTGGACTATTCAGCCATATCAGTTCTAACAAGTTTGCTTTGTCACTTTCTTCACTAGAAGAGCTTCCCAGCCAGGTGCAGTGGTACACATCTGTAATTCCAGTGGCTCAGAATGCTGAGGCAAGAGGATCGTAAATTCAAGGCTAGCCTCAACAATTTAGGAAGACCCTCAGCAATTTAGCAAGATCCTCAGCAATTAAGTGAGACCTTGTCTCAAAATAAAAAGGGCTGGGAGTGAAGCTCAGGGGTAAAGTATTCCTGGGTTCAATCCCTTGTACTAAAAAAACAAAACAAAACAAAAAAATTAAGAGTTTCCATTACCAAATCATTGTTTTATCTGTGGATCTTCACGTACATATAGCAAAGTTCTGACCTCGTTCATTTGAGTGAATGAGATTGTTCAGAGCTTTGTGGCCTTACAGTACCTCTCCTGGGCCATCCATGTGGTGCTGGTAAGCTCTCTCTCTAGGGGGCCAGTGTTCAGCCCTGTACTTAATTATTACCCAACAGAAAACTTACTTGTTTAATTTTTCCTTGAACTCACAAGTTTTCAGGGGAACTCCTAAGTCAAATGCACAGAAAGCCACTTTAATAATAAATATTAATACAAAGTTGTTCTCCATTATTTGAGAATTATAGGAATTAAAAATATCTAAACCAGATTACCACATTGCTGAAGGAGGTGAAATGGTGAAACATGAATGTGAATACTGTATGGTCCAGCCACTGTTCCCCTGCTTTATGGTGATGTACATCTTATTCTGGTGGATAATGTATACATGGGTGCTACTGGCAAACAGGAAATGTGACTGGCTTGGTGCAAACTGAGTTTTTTAGAATGAGCTAGAAATGCATGCATTTTACCTGAGAGTAAAATGATGTCAAGAAACTTGACTATTCTTCAAGGTTTTTTTCTTTTGCAGGGTGTGAGGAATGTAATAATGCCCATTCTTCAGTGTGCCCCAAGCATGGCCCCTTGCATCCCATCCCCAATCGGCCTGTGCTCACTCGGGCAAGAGCGAGTCTCCCCCTGGTCCTCTACATAGACAGGTTCCTTGGAGGAGTGTTTTCAAAAAGGCGCATTCCCAAGCGTACCCAGTTTGGCCCTGTGGAGGGACCCCTTGTCAGGGGGTCTGAACTGAAAGACTGTTACATTCATCTAAAGGTAATTTATACTTTTTCCTATTTCACTCCCTTCTTTAACAGTTTTTCAAGGGGCATTCATTTCTTTTGCTGAGTCTTTTGTTTTCATTTCATAACAGTCATTTGCTAGTATTTTTCTTTTTATGCTTAATTTTAAATGGAAACATTACTCCCCGCACCAATAAAATGGAGGTCATAATTTTAGACCCCTGTGAATAATTCTGAGAAGTGTGGTTTTTAGGGTCTGTAGTAATATGCTAGAATTGACATAGTAAAATGCTATAGACTGAGAGGCTTCAGCAATGGAAATTTCTTTTTTCACAGCTCTGGAGTTAGAAATCTAACATTAATGTGTTGGCAGGTTTCTCCTTGACCTGCACATGACTGTCTTCTTATTGTGCACTTACAGGGTCTTTCCTCTGTACTTATGTGTGTCTTTTCTAATTTCCTCTTATTAAATGGACCAGTCATATTAGATTAGGGTGTACCTTAATTATGTTATGTTCACTTCATTACCTCTTTAAAGGTTCTATCTCTAAATGCAGTCACATTCTGAAGTACTGGAGGTTACAGGGTCCCCACATGACTTAGAGGTTGAGGGACACAAAATTCAACACAAAACAGAGAAATTGGTGTGGGTTTTTTTTTTTTTTTTCATTTCTTTTTTTAAAATGAACTTTGGAATGTGGCTGGGCATGGTGGTATACACATGTGATCCCAGCAACTTGGGAAGCTGAGGCAGGAAGATCTCAAGTTGGAGGATAGACTGGGCAACTTAGCAAAATCCTGCCTCAAAATAAAAAATATAAAAAAGCTTGCTGAGGTATAGCTCAGTGTTATAGTGCCCCTGGGTTCAATCCCTAGTACCACAAACAAAGGAAAACAAAAACAAAATACTTTGGATACTTTTTTTTTTTTTTTTTTTTGGATGCTGGGGATGGAACCCAGGCCCTGTGCATGCAAGGTAAGTACTCTATCAACTGAGCGATATCCCCAGCCCCAAAACACAGTACTTTGGAATACAGAAAATTACACGGATGTATGTAATCTGCTGTGTGCCATTAATGTTTGCAAAATACCCCACTTTTCAATATTAAAACAGGCTCGGTTTGAATTTTTTCTGTTAAATAATTGTTCACTGGGGCTAGGCTGTTACTCAGTAGTAGAGCTCTTACCTAGCATGTGCAAAACCCTGGGTTTGATCCCCAGCACTGCAAAAACAAAAACAAAAAACAAATAAGAAACCTACCCCAAAACAACAAAAAATAAGTTTGCTGTATGTTGAAGAATATTTATTTTGATCGCATTCTTTACTTTTAATGATTTTGCTTCTATCCAACCCTCTTTACTATCTGCTGTTTTGAATAGCTACTCTGAAGCACTAAGAAAGGGCAGTAAGAAAGGGTGAATATCTGAAATGTTATTTAGAGAAATTAGCTGCTGTTGTAGGGAGGATTTCTTTTAAACTAATGCTCAAGATCTCCAAGCAAGAATATTACCTGTCTTTGGGCTGAATATTATAAATGGATACAGTTGAATCTCCAAAGGATGCAAATTATAATGAAGTGGAGAGTATTATGCTTGATTTTTATTTACAGCATTTTTGGTTGTGCTAGTTTTGTGAGATATTAACTAAAGCTATGTAGTTTTATTGGTGAACTTTTAGATTTTGCCATGTAATTCTCCTATAGGTAAGAGAGGTTTCAGGAAGTATCCTTTCTTTCTCTTTATGTTTGGTAAGTCACAATTCTAGTATCTTTCTAGATACAAAGGGAAGATATATGGTTAATTTAAGGAGAAATATTTTGTATATTATTGCTAATAGTATATTGAAGGTTTTGTTTTTTTGGTGTGGGTCTTTACCTTTTCTTTGGTTGCAGGTTTCTCTTGATAAAGGGGACAGAAAAGACAGGGATTTGCATGAAGACCTATGGTTTGAGTTGTCTGATGAGACCCTGTGTAACTGGATGATGTTTGTACGTCCAGCCCAAAACCACCTGGAGCAGAACCTGGTGGCTTACCAATATGGCCACCATGTGTATTATACAACGATAAAGAATGTGGAACCCAAGCAGGAACTGAAGGTATAGTGCTGGATCTGGAGGGCTCTCTGCTAAAAAAGAACTTATCCTAATTTTTTCCTTCTAGTAAGTATGATTCTTACTAAAATGGTTCTTTACTGGTAATTTATTTACCTCTGGAGCCATCCCTAGGGGAAATTGGTTCCGGGATTCCCCCAAGATCCTTATGTAAAATGGTGTAATATTTGCATAGAACTTACACATTCTTCCCATGTATTTTAAATTATTTCTAGATTATTTATAATACCTAATAAAATATAAGTGCTATATAAATGTTTTTATACTGTATTGTTTAGGGACTAATGACAAGAAAAACTCTGTATATTAAGTACAGATGTAATTTTTTTGGACAGTATTTTTGGTCAGCAGTTGGGGGAATCCATGGATATAGAGGGCTGACTGTACTATGTACTACAGATCAGTAATAATCTTGTAAATAAAACAATGAGAAGTAGATGGGCTCTGTTCTCATCAAGAGCCTACAGAAAGGCATTAGGTCTGGGGATAAGAAAGTGATTGTATGGGGAGCTGACTGATATTTGTGATGGGGTAATTAAAGATAGTATCACTTAATGTCATTTATACATAACTAAAGAAGAATTTGTTGTGAAATGTGGGATTTTATAAAATAAAATTCAGATGGATGGGCAAGATTCCTTTTCTTTATCTGAATACTTCATTTTATTCAAAGAATTCTTTGACTTCTGATTTCAGAAATATGTATTTTGGGGGTAACCCTGTTAGAATTTGTCTAAATATTGACTTTTGATGACATAATGAAATTTTGGTATGATTCCAAAAGAAAAATTCTTTTTTTTTTTTCTTTTCCTATGCTGCTAGGGATAGAACCCAGGGCTTTACACATTAGGCAAGTGCTTGATCAATAAGCAACTCTTCCTGCCCAAGATTCCTTCCTTCCTTCTTTAGCATATATTAGGAACATGGACAAAAGAGGGGGGCCAAAGTAGTCTTTAACTTCCTGAGGTAAATAACAAAATAGATGAGAAATGATTATATCAGTACATGAACACTGAATTGCATAGTGTCTCAATGTTAGAAACTGATTGCTCCTCTTTAGTGGGAGAACAAAGTCCTGGATTTTATTCAAAAGGTGCAAAACCTCTGTCTTGGAAACCATCAGCTAGATAATCCACCAGCCATGAAGAAAATATGTAAAAAGAATGTCAAAGGAGATTAACATCTCATGCCATCTATTCCAGTGCTGCACCACTGAACTAACTTACTCTAGCTCTGTTTTCTCTTGTAAAAAAGTAAGTGTAACTGTAGAGGTTAAGATGAATAGAAATAATTAAATAGGAATTTAATATTTGAGTACAATAAAACAACCAAAACAACAGATAGAAGGAATGAGAAAATGGGGAAGTATTTGTAATACAGGGTAAAAGATTTTAAGTATGATGACTGAGACAAAGAGTTGTATACCTTCAACTTAGCTACATCCAGATGGACAAATGAACAAATACCAAGAATAGACTCTATTTACAAAGGGAAAAGAAATGTTAAAAAAAAAAATTAACCCTTAATCCAGGTATGGTGGTGCATACCTGTAATCCTAGTGACTTAAGAAGCTGAGGCAGGAGGACTGAAAGTTTGAGATAAGCCTGGGCAACATAATGAGATTCTATTTCAAAATAATAAGGAAAGGTGCTGGAAATGTAGCTTAGTGGTAAAGTTCATTCCCCAATAGTGCATGAGGGTGTGGTGCAGCTGGGGTTATAGCTTAGAGGTAGAGTGAGCATGTATGAGGCCCTGGGTTCCATATCCAGAATGGACAAAAGAGAAAACAAAAAAAATGTCCCCAATTAAACTATTTTTAAATGCTTAAAATTTTATATATATATATATATATATATGTGTGTGTGTGTGTGTGTGTGTGTGTGTGTGTGTATTTAAAACTAAAATGATTTATAATGTAGAACATGAAGACGACAGTTTGCAAATTCATTATCACTTAAAGGAAATCAGTGTGCTAAGCTTTGAGAAATGAGATGTTCCAACATATACACCAAAAATTTAAAAACAGAATTAAATTAAAACATGAAATGTTATCTAATGTAATGCAGATCAGGGGATCAAAGATGAAGGTCACACATTATTAAAAAGAAATCCAACCAAGGACAGCTGTGTCATGATCTCTCATTGGTGTCACAACAGTGCCTCTCTTTTGGTGGACTTGAACATTTTGGCAGACATTCAATCAGCTTTAAAAACAAAAACAAAAACAAGAAAAACCAGTTTTTACATGGCTACTATTGTTCTTCCCACCATCTTCCGGCTTGTTTTTTGCTGCTATTTCTCTCAGGCGTATTCTCCTTTTGTTCATAATGGGGATCCCAAGCACCCAGAATTGGCCTTGTACCCACCGCTGCTGGTCCAGCCACTCACCCTGCCTGCATTTTTTAAATTGATAAACATGGTTACTTTATACTTATCAAAAGAGCTATTTTAGATTTAATTAGAAATAATTTTTAAATCATATCATCCTTGTGCATGCATGAAAATGCATACTTAGGTAAAAAGTTAAGATATAAAACTGCTTTTTATGCATTGTCACTTTTTCCCCTTTCAATCACTGGTTTACATCATGATGTCTGTGATTTTTGGGGGCAGTACTGGGGATTGAACTCCTGGCTTCTTGCATCTAAGGTAAATGTTCTTCCACTGACCTACCTCCCCAGCCCTTTTTGTTTTTTATTTTGAGACAAGGTCTCACTAAGTCACATAGGCTGGCCTCAAACTTGTAATCCTCCTAAGTACCTGGGATTATAAGTATAGGCCTCATGTTTTTGCTTTTCTGTCTTCTGCCATCTTCTGTTCCATTAAGATGATATTGATGATATATTTTTTTTGTGTGTGTGGTACTTATGCATGCTGTGAAAATACTCTACCCCTGAGCCACATCCCAGTCCTTGATATTGTTATATGTATATTTCCAGTCCTTGGTATTGTTATATGTATATTTACATATATATTTTGCGCCTGGGATCAAACCCAGGACCTCGCATGCGGTAGGATTTTGTTCTACTACTGAGCCATATCCCAACTCCTCACAATCTTTTAAAAATAAATAGTCCAGGGCAGGGGATGTTGCTCAGTAGTAGAGTGCTTACCTAGCATGTGTCAGGCACTGGGTTTGATCCCCAGCACCACATCAAAATAAAACAAATAAAGGTAGTAAAAAAATAAATATTCCACTATTGCCTCTGGGATCTTGTTCCATACCACGTAACTTTTTGTATGCATGGTGGTTGGAATTGGGCCTGACACTTGTGCTGTACCACTGAGCCATACCCCTATCAAGTTTGAATATTGTGCTTTCACATTCATTTGAATTCATCTGTGTCTTTTTCCTAAATTGAATCACAGGCCCTTGGAAGCGAAGTGTTTTTTGATCAAGTCAGTAGGAAGTTTCTGACAGTTCTGACTGAAGCCTTAATGAGAGGCCTGTAGAATGCTAACCAGTCTCTTAACCACTTTGAAATTTTTTCTTATTCTGAGGGAAATGGCAGTTCTTTTGGCCTTCATTTGTAGTGCTTGGCAGGTGTCAACAAGTCATGGAACCCAAAGGGGGCTTATAACTGAATGAGGTAAGAACAGTGCAGAGAGCTGGGCCAGACTTGTGCAGGAGTGTTGTGCAGGTTCTGAGTGCTGCATCATGGCAGCAATTGTAGGATGCCAACCAGAGTGGGAGATGCTTTCTGATTTCTGAGATGTTAAATATGAAAAAAGATACATCTTGGAATTGATGGATTAGTGTGTGTTTGTAATAGCAAAATATAAACCACCTAAAAGTACAACCATAGGGGCACAGTTGAGTCAATTATGGAATACAGATTCTACATAATATTACTCCACCATTCAAAATGAAGTCTGCCTTTATAAATATTCCCTTATATTTAAATTAATGTTCTATAAAAGTTACATATGATTAAGTCATTTAGTGATTAATAAGTTGAAATCCTACTGTGTTTCAGACAGTAGGAAAAAAACAAGCTTGTTTCCCTGTGTTCAGGGAACTTGCATTCTAGGGGGGAAGTGGACAGAAAGATGTAAACAAATAAATAATATCCAATAGGAGTTAAGTTTCATGGTGCAGAAAGAGCAAATAACGGGAAAGGGACCAATTTAGATGTGCTTCATAGAAAAAGCCTTGCTTAAGAGGTGATAGGCTGAGGACTGGGAATGAGAAGAGACCAGTCCTGCAGAGGGTTATAAGAAGAGCAAAGGAGAAGAACCTTGCACTCCAGGGGGTGAGCCAACAAGGGCAAAGGCTTGGATGGGAAGGCACTGGGCATGTTTGAGTTGCTGAGTGTAGGCCATCTTGGCTTAAAGGTGGGCAAAGTGATAGGAGCTGAGGTTTCTTAGTAAGATAGAGGAGATCATGGAGCCCTTGGAGGATTATCATGAACATTTCAGGTTTATTATGAAATAAGCCATTTCTGGTAAAACAAAATTCAATTGTGTTTTAAGAAGACAATTATTTTAAGAAGACTTTGGCTCCTGTGTGGATTGCAAAGAAAAAGGGAGGCTAGTTTGAAGGCAAGAGATGGTGGTGGCATGCCTCCAGGTGGAAGAAGCAGAGATGGAGAACACCTGAGGAAGTGACAGTTCTACTGAAGGATTACAGAAGCAAATGGAGAAACCAAAGATACATTTTAGGTTTTAAGTCTGAGCACTTCGGGGGAAGGTGAGGCAATTGAAATGAGAAGTTAGGTAGAGGTGGAGATATGAGTTGGGAAGCATCAAGAATTCCATTCTGGGCATGTTAAATTTAAGTTGTTTGTGAAATATCCCAAATATCAGATCAGAAATAGAATACATTTGGAGTGATCAGAGAAGGGGCATCTGGGATGAAGGTATTAATTTGGGAATCATTAGTATAGAGTGGTTAGAAATTGATGTGATCAGTGGAGGGAAAAATAAGAAGGCTCAGGACTTGAATTAAGCTTTGAGGAACACTAATATTGGGAAGTTAGGTGGAAGAGGAGCCAGCTAAGGTGAGTGAGCAGAAGCAGCTATTGGGGTAGGAGAGAAACAGCTATCACTGGCGTAGGAGAGAAGAGCCCTGGGAGAATGTGGAAGTGTTTGGTACAGTCCCATTTGTGATCACAGTGTGAGTTATTTGGTGGCAGCCACTATGATTGCAGTTGTATTCAAATCTGTGTTTAAATATAGCTCTATTATTATTATTATTATTATTATTTTACAAATCAGAAGAGGCTGTTTTATCTAGATGAAGAGACTATGAATAAAGTTCTTCTGGAGTTATTCTAATTAAAAAAAAAATCACAGAATTTTTAAAAAGGGAAAAGAAAACAGGCAATGTGTCTTGACTTCTTGACAGATGATCTGCCAGATGGGTGTTGGGGAGCCAGGTTCACAGTGTGGTTTTTTTTTTAATGGGCTGTGAAAAAGCCTGAATTGTTTCATTTAACAGGAGAAATAATGTAAGCATGCAAAGCACATCTGGTGATGTTCCTTAATTCTTGATGTCCTTGGTTCTTGCAGGTGTGGTATGCTGCATCCTATGCTGAGTTTGTGAACCAGAAAATTCATGACATCTCTGAGGAAGAAAGGAAAGGTGGTTGGACTTTTATATTGTATATTTTCTACATGAATTCTAAGTTGTATATGTTACATCTTCATGCAACCTCTAATTTTTTCATTTCAGTGTATTTCAGAAGATATTCCAGGTTCTTAGAGCTACACACCTCCATCTAACTGTAGGATCAAATTACAATGACATATTTACATTTCTTTCATGGGTGCTAGAAAATAGTATTTAATATAATAAAAACCTGCAAATACTAAATTAGAACCTAGATCAGAGGACAATTCTTATCTGGACTTGAACATCTTTGAGGACATGGTAAAGCAGGCATTCACTTTATCTTTAATGTAAATATTAACTGAAATGCCATCTCTGTATAAAAAGGTGAACAAATTATTATGTATACTGCTTGATGAATTTTTACAGTGAACTCATGTAAGTTCCCAAATGTGATTACTCTCTGTGTAAGTTCCCAAATGTGATTACTCTCCTGACTTTCAATACCACACATAAGATTTACTTGTTATTGAATTGCACATAAATAGAATTATATATACATTTTTTTGTGTCTGGGCATCTTACTCAGCATTGTGAGGTTCATCCATATTATTGGATATGATTGCAATTTATTCATTTTATTGTTGTTTGGTATTCTGTTGTATAAATGTATAACCATTTATTTATCTATTATGCTGTAGATTTGATTGTACAGTGCAATTATCATAGTAAGTACCCAGAATTAGGTCAAATTTCACAGGTTAAGGGCACAGTTTTCATTAAGAGTCCCCTCGCTTCAGATATCAGATGCAAGCTCCGTGGTTCCCAACCTACCTATACTACTAGCTATAATTTAGGGAGCTCTCTATTGCTCTTCAGGTTTGATAATTAACTAGAATGACTCAATAGAGAACCTAGGAAAGCACTTTATTTAATGGTCACAGTTTTTTTATAAAGGATATATATATCAGGATTAGCCAAATGAGGAGAACTAGGGTGAGGTCTAGGAGGGTCCCCAATGAAGCTTCTGTGTCCTCTCAGGATATATCATTCTCCTGGCACATTGATGTATCATTGCCAATCATAGAAACTCATTTAAGCTTTGCCTTTCAGAGTTTTTATTGAGGCATTATTATATAGGCATGATTGAATTAATGGTCATGTGATTGGACTCAATTTCTAGCTCTCATTCTCCTCTGGGAGGTAGGGCTGGTATTAACTGATTCAAAGCACCAACCCCCCCCCCCCTTTTTTTTTTTTGTGGTACTGGGGATTGAAGCCAGGGCGCTCTACCACTGAGCTCTATCCCAGTCCTTTTTATTTTTTATTTTGAGACAAGGTCTCATTGAGTTGCTCAGACTGGCCTTGAACTTGTGATTTTCTCTTCTTAGCCTCTAAAGTGGCTGGGATTACAGGTGTGTGCCAAGCACCTGGCAAAGCACCAACCTAATCACAAGGTTGAACTTTCTAACACTGCTACCCCTGACTCTGAGTCATCTCCTTAGCATAAACTCAGGTAGGATGAGGGGCCATGATGATAACAAAGGCACTTCTATCACTCAGGAAATTCCAGCTACTAAGAGCTTTCCTCCCAGGAGCCAGAGACTAAGGTTGGCCAGATTCTTTATCTTATATCAGGATTGTTCGTAGTTTTGGGCTGTTTTAAAAAGTGCCTGCTCTGACTGTTTTTGTACATGTCTTTGGTGAACACGTGTGCACATTTCCTTTAGGTGTACATCTAGGGGTGGAATTACAGGGTCCTATGTTATGCATATATTCAGCTTTAGGAGTTACTTCCAAACATTTTACTGAAGTCATTATATTGGGCATTGATTTTTAAGTTATTTGTGATAAAATATACCCTTAAATTATGAGACTTGGGCGGGACATAGTGGTGCATACCTGTATTTCTGGTGACTCAGAAAGCTAGGGCAGGAGAATCGCACCTTTAAATCTAGCCATCCTGGGCAATTTAGCAAGACCCTCAGCAACTTAGAGACCCTGTTTGAAAATGAAAATAAAAAGGGCTAGAATATAGGTTAGTGGTAAAACTTGCCCCTGGATTCAATCTCCAGTACCATAAAAGAAAAGGAATATTATGAAACTTGGATCTGAATCAGTGGATTATCTAAATACAGATCTCCTTACAGTGCTTTCTCTCTTTCTGGGTGAAGGGTGTGTGTGTGTGTAGAGTGGTGTGAGCGTGTTGTTCCTTTGATGTCCTGCATGAATGTGTCAGAAAATAAGAGCCTATAACTCACCTCTGTGCCAAATTCTAGTCTTTGATTTTATAACAAGAAAGTCATACAAATAGCAGATACTGTCTGCAGGAAGATAAGAATGGCAGAGAAAACAGGCATCTGAGTTTTCCTGGTGTCTGTTGATCATCAGCTTTCATGATTTCTCTCCTGTGATTGTAGTTCTTCGAGAGCAAGAGAAGAATTGGCCCTGCTATGAATGTAACCGCCGGTTTATAAGCTCAGAGCAATTGCAGCAGCATCTCAATTCTCATGATGAGAAACTGGATGTGTTTAGCAGGTATGTATGAGGACAAAGGCTCACAAATCAGGTTTGGAATCATTTTTGTACATAGACTAATGAGTGTGTATGCTTACACAGGTAACCAGTTAGGTAGCTATCGAGGATTGTCTTTCATAACTAACCCCTTCCTTATTTACTATTTATTGCTTTTCTAGCATAACCAATACCCAACAATGGAAAATCCCCTTACTTCAGTTAAGTCTCCCTTAACTAGAGATTATGAAGTAGGAATCCTTCAGATAGCATTTAAACATCAGGGTAAGGGTATATTGGAGTAAGAGGAAAGACCCAGAGTTCAGTCAGAACTATTGCAACAGTTCAGGTGAGGAAAGAGTGTTCTTTAGATTAGATGGGACAGATGTAGGATTGTCCACTTAAAGGATTTGGAAAGATACAAGATGGTGTGAAACCTCACTTAGGAAAGTGGGAAAGAGAATATTCTAGGGAAGTACTGTACAGTTGCCTGCAACACTGAATGTCCATATGAGGTTCACAGTCATAAAATGAGAGACTACAAGCAAGACTGTATGTTGTTTTCGAGCCCCATCCAGCTGCTGCAGTGCAGGCAGGGAACTGGGTTACAAAAAATGTGGTTTTGCTGAGAGCATCCAACACAGTGACAACAAAGAAGCAGCAACTCGGATGGGGATCAGAGAAAATACAAGGGATTGATTGCAGTGAATGACCTTTGAGGTGTGCTATGGACAAAGGAAGGATTGGACTGGGAGATGACGGGAGTGGAAGGGTTATTGAATTTGGGTATTGGAGAGAGTGAGCTGGAGAGGTAGGAGATAGTGTGTCAGAATGGGCCTTTGTGGAAACAGGGGCAGTGGGATTGTATTGAGGATGACAGGTCTAAGATATGACCTTGGGGATAAATATCTGAAGGTGATGGATGCAATGAGATTCAAGATATTTACTCCTAGGTTTTCTCACTTTTCATGGTTCTATTACATCATTTTTTATATTATATTAGGATTTTTGACTTACAGGCCTGCTGCCTCTGCTAAATTCTGAGGATAAGATCACCTTTAACTTGATGTCTTTAGTGCCAAGCATAGTGTATGACACATAGAAAAGTGTTCACTTTCTATCTGATAAAATAAATTTGAGACAAATGAGCAAAATCTGAATTTTGACTAGATATAATAATATTGAGCAACTACCTGATTTTTTTTTAGGTGTGATAATGGTATTGTGTGTGTTTAGAATTTTCCATACTTGAGAGTGAGTAGAGAGCATGTGCCTGTAGTTCCCGCTACCTGGCAGACTAAGGCAGGAATTTGAGCTCAGGAATTTGAGACTAGCCTGGGCAACATTGAAAAAAAAAAGAAAAGAAAAATTTTGTTAAATAGCTATGTAGAAGAGTATGATATGATGGATATTCACAAAATATCTAAAAGATGTTTTGCGATGTACTTTTGAAATATCTTAATAAGGAATTTTTGTATGTTAGTCATTCATTAAAGGAGGTAAAATTTATTCAGTATCTTAGCCAAACTGTGGAACCAAAGTAGGCGTTCATCAATGGATGAATGGATAAAGAAAATGGGTATATATGTACACAATGGAGTTTTATTCAGCCATAAAGAATAATGAAATTGTTAGTTGCAGGAAAAAGGATGAAACTTGAGAACATTATGTTAAGCAAAATAAACCAAACTTAGAAGGTCAAGGGTCATATACTTTCTCTCATGTGGAAGCTGGAGAGGAAAAAGGAAAGGTGGGAGGGATCTCATGAAAATGGAAGGGCAATCAGTAGGGGGAAGGGACCAAGGAAAGGAAGGATAGGAGGGAAAGGGGAAATACTGGAAAATGATATTGGCCAAATTATATTATATTGTGTGGTGAATGAATATGTCACAACAGATCCCACCATTATATGCAACTATAATGCATTAATAAAAAAATGTGGAAACAAAAGGGTTGTGCCAGTTACAATGTCAACAGCAAGATAAAATAAAATAAAACAATTTGGTGTTTGGAATAGTTGAATTAGAAATTTGTACTAACCCTCCTGAAGATTTTGTTTGTATGTGGTGCTGAGGATCGAACCCAGGCCGCAAGCATGCCAGGTGAGCGCGCTACTGCTTGAGCCACATCCCCAGCCCTCTCCTAAAGATTTTGGTAAAACAAAATACTTTGCATTTAGCCACATTTTGTGGAAGAAATCTTGAACTGAGGTTAAGAGAGGAAGGCTGGAATCTTGTTTAAGATAACATGTCCTCAAAACACACTAGGCTTAGCATGTTCTGTCTGCATTTCTCACCTCCTTTCAGAAGCAAAATGTTGTCAGCACTTTGTGTTTACATAGCTCTCTTTTTTCCCCCAGAATAATTTGAAGACACCTCTTTATGCTTTAGAGAGGGCAAAGATAAGAACTTTAGAAAGTGTTTCCATTAGAGAAAAAAATCAGGGAAATTAATCAAGTGAGGGGAACTCAAAATCTGGGGTTAGTAACGACCATTTAGGGAAACATTTTATGGAGTATGATGTAACTATAACTATCCGTAACCCAATCTTTTGTCCCCAGAACAAGAGGCAGAGGGAGGGGACGAGGCAAGAGACGATTTGGTCCAGGTCGAAGGCCAGGGCGTCCTCCAAAATTTATCCGCTTGGAAATAACCAGTGAAAATGGAGAGAAAAGTGATGATGGGACACAGGTACTGGGAATTGGGAAAGAACTCCTTCTTAGATGCTTGTTTAGAGAACTTTCAGAACTCTGGCTGGATTTAAACACAAGCACCTTTCAGATGTTAATAGTCCTGTCAAAGAATCAGAGCTTTGCTGCTTGTTAACTTAAGTGGGATTTGGAGAAGGGCAGAAAGCATGTATTTTCAAGCGTTATTCACAGTTATTCAAAAACTCAACTTTGCTGCCCCCCCAAAATTTGATATTGGCCAGAGATATTAAAGAGGCAATTTTATTAATTTAAACCATTACAAAATTTGATATTTGTGAAGGTTCATATCATGATCCTCCCCATTCAGTGGTCTGAAATATCTCGTGATTTTTGTATTTTGTGTGTATTTAATTAATTTTCCCGGAGGGAGAGTATTTTTTTTTCTCTGAGTATTATGAATCTGGTCATTTAAAAATAAGCAATAGCTGGGCACAGTGGCTAGCTACTTGAGAGGCTGAGTGGGGAGGATCACTTGAGTACAGGATTTTGGGCCCTGCCCAGGTAATATAGCAAGCCGCTGACTCTTAAGAAAAATTATTTAAAAAGCAGCAATTCTAAATCTGAGCCGGTAGTCCTTCTAGCACTGATCTCTATCTAGGTAAGTATATAATTCTTGGTTATTGCAAATTTCAGGACTTGCTACATTTTCCCACAAAGGAGCAGTTTGATGAGGCTGAACCAGCTACTCTGAATGGGCTGGATCAACCGGAACAGACCACTATCCCAATCCCTCAGCTGCCACAGGAAACTCGGTCGTCTCTGGAACAAGAACCAGAAACTCACACCCTTCACCTACAGCCACAGCATGAAGAGAGTGTGGTACCCACCCAGAGCACTTTGACCGCAGATGACATGCGCAGGGCCAAACGCATCCGAGTAAGTGGGATGCTCATTCTTACAGCTGGTCTCCTTCTTCCCCTCAACACATGGTGTTCCAGCCTGTTCACCATCCACTTTGAAATCTTGTTATCTAGCCTATCATATGCTTGCAAGAAAGTTCTCTTTCTTAATGTTTCCATATCCTATGGCAGGCTGGCATGGCTGGTCCTAGATTTTATCAGCCTGGATTTTGGCAGCTCCTGGATTAGTATAGTAAAAATAAGATAGCTCTTCACATCTCTAAGTTCATAGATTAGAAATGGAGAAATAAGTATACTTAATTATAATTATTATATATATATTTTTCTTTTATTTCTTTTTGGTGCTAGGGATGGAACCTAGGGCTTCCTGCATGCTAGGCAAGCACTATTCCACTGAGCTACATCCCTATCCCTAATTATTTATGTTAATTATTTTAAGCCAGGCTTGTCTGTTTCTAATCATAGCTCTCAAGTTAATTGTGGGGAACTAAAATTGGTTATCTACTATTTCCAAGGGGAGACTGGCAAGTGTCACTACTATTTGTCAATGCAAAGGGAACTGTGTCCAAGTTGATATGACAGGTATAGTCCACACACTTGGGACAGCATGAAGTAAAGTTGTATGTCAGGAGCTAACTAACATCTAACTAACATGTGACCTGTGTCTTGGCCTTAGATCATGAGACTACAGGGCTTCCATGATTTCCAGTTAAGATGTGTGTTTCTCTTACTATTTCACAGTCAGCATTTGAGTCTCAGTAACTGCAGGGATTGCATTGTAGAAAACAGTATGGTTTTGTGTGATGTCTATGCAGACAAAAAGCAATGACATAAAACCCATGTTTGTGGCCAGCTGAACATAAAAAGACTTTGATTTGTACTTGACTTTAGATGAAAAAGATTTTTTACACAACTTCCCAGGCTTTACAAATTTTAAATGGATGATTGGTTTAGATTATGTTTCTTTTGGTCTTCTTTTTTTTTTTTTAAAAAAAAAAAAGATGATAAGTTAAACTGTATTCAGAGGGTCCATGGTAGTAGGTACAGATAACATTGCGAAGGGATCTTGCTGTGGGTAAGAGAAATTGGGTTCAGCTACCTCTTTTGGTTTTCTTATTTGCCTATAGGCTAGAAGGGACCTTGAAAAATAGTCCAGGCCTTCATGTAAAAATACTTTTAAACGTTCATAGGTACATGACAGCTTTGAGGGGCTCTTAAGAACTCTTTATCTCAGTACCCTTTATGAGGGTCCTATAAACTGAAACACATACAACTGTGGCTCAGTGTGTACTACTTCAAAAGGATCGATAAACATGTAAACATAGGCCAGAAAAACAAAAAGCTATGAATATCTTCTTATCCATTGTTCTACTTTATTTCCCAATCTTCACTTTTTTCTCTTTTCAATTACTATCTTTTCTGCTTTGGCTATTCTGATATTTTACTAAGTCCAGAGAAATGCTTGCTAGATTTTATTTTATTTTTTCTTTGAAGGAAAAGACTTTAAGCTTACACATGTAGTGAAGCTGTAGATGTATAAGCATAGTGTATTCTGTACTTGTTCTTGAAGAAGTTGGGGTACAGGTTCTGTATAAGTTTCCTTGTGTCACAACAAAAGCCACAGGCATGTGGCTTTTAGAAGTCAGTCTTAGTTGACCTATCTTGTTTTTTCCTCTTACATATTCTAAAAAGCAGGGCTATGTATTTTTTCATCTTTTTTATCCAGATTGGTAATGACCAACTGAAGGGAAGTCTTCCAATCCAATTGGTAATGTAACTATTTTTCTCTCCTCTAATGCTGCCTGCTCAGTTGGAGCTGCAGGTAGGTTTGTTTCCTGTGTTTCACATAACAGAATGTTATTTAAGTGTTTGCCTGACCTGCTGTTCATTGCAACCTTTATTTACTAAATCCTGATGAAAAGCACAATTTGGTTGCTCCAGTAAATGCATATTAATGAATAATTATAATTCATTTGCAAATAGATTAATGAGTAAATTATGGGCTGCATATTCTTCCTGTATGAAATGGAGGTTAGGACTAAGTGATCTCCAAGGTCCCTTCCAGTTCTAAAATAATTTGAATTACTTATGGAGTGGTACTGAGTTCTAACTGTCTAGGTACCTGACAGAACTTTCCCTTGAGCTCTGTATCTAAAAGCTGACAGTCTAAAAATAGCATTAGATTGTTTACAGTTATATGTGAAATGTAAAAGTACAGCTTATAATTGCTCTAGGAACTTGGAGGAGTGAAAGACTAAAGAAAGGTGGAGGAGGCAGGGAATAATTAATAAATGAGGGGAGACATAGAGTGAGTCCTTGAAACAGAGAGTCTCTTCTAGAAGGTAAATCATCCCAGAGGAGGGGAGCCATCAAATTAGAATCTCAGACACAGGGATGTGCTTGGTGTAGTTATAGGACAGTGCAAACAGTAGCTTGACCCTAGAGTAGGTGGTAAGTGAAGAATAGTGGAGAATGAGGTATATTCAGCAAGTCTAGTCCACCAAAGGCTTTAAAATCCAAAAATAGTCCAAGGAAAAGTTGTTAAAAACAAACAACCAAGAAACAAGCATGATGATTTTATTTCTTTTTAGGCTCAGGATTAAAATAGTACAAAAATTGGTCAATAATGTAGATTCCTTTAGCTTTTTTTGTTGGTTTCTGGAAATTGAACCTAGGGGTGCTTACCAACTGAGCCACATCTGCAGCCGCCCCCTCTTTTTTTTGGGGGGGGTGCTGGGGATTGAACCCAGATCGTTGTGCATGTGAGGCAAGCACTCTACCAACTGAGCTATATCCTCAGCCCCTAGCCCTTTTTTTTTTTTTAATTTTGAGACAGGGTCTCACTAAGTTGCTGATGGCTTCACTAAATTATTGAGATTGGCTTTGAACTTGTAATCTTCCTGCCTCAGCCTCTGGAACCACTGGAATTACAGGGCTGTGCCACCATACCAGACACTCCATTAGCTATTAATATCAAACTTTAGGAACATTTTAGAAACAAAGAATCTTGTATCAGAATTCATTGCAATGTGATTCACAGAACTTAACAAAAATAGTGTTTTGGCATCCTTAGAGCAGCAGATGTGCCATACAGTGTGATGTGGTTGACTGACAGGTGCTCAGGGATCAGAAGATCCTGATACATCTATGTGCTGCCTCTTCAGTTGCCATGATTTCTTCTAGAAAGTGGACCATTTGTGGCTCTACACTATAGAAGTTACCTTAGAGCAGAGCTGGCCTGCAAGTGGGTCAAAGGATGGGAAATGTTTCAGCACTTTTACTACCTTGTAATATGGGGATCACATAAGTATCATTAGCTCAGAGAAATACAGGCTAGTTCTTGAGTATTTAGACAGTGTTCTGGGCTCCATGGAAATCAAAGGGATGATAAGAGTTGTCAATAGAGCTAAGGAAGTGGAGTCAAGAGGCTGCTCAATTTAAATCAAGTGTCTGAAGGTATTCATGCTAATCAGAAATGACAGAAGACTGATTAGCATAATGGACCAAAGCAAAACTTAGCTTTGGATTTGGCACCCAAGGAGAAATGGAATCCTTAGTGGGACCATTGTCAACTGTTGTGCATTGTGTCTGTCCTTGGAAACTTGACCAAAGTTGGATAAAGGAAATTATTCTTCCATGGCAGACATGCTCTAAATCTTGAATCTTCTCTCAACCTAAGAATAGCATCTGTTATATGGCATCTTTCCATAAAGTTTTGAAAGTAGAGAAAATAGTAAGAACTTTTATGTAATGTAAAAATGTGTCCAGATAGAGTAAAAAGATGAGGTGATAGCTAAGCATTATGAGGAAGTGAAAGCAAGCTCTGTGGCTGATTTGAAAAGGTCTGTTTGTAAAGATCTTCATGGATACTGTAGAAAAAAACTAGAAATAATTTTTTGAGTTTTATTTGAAATATATTTTATTAATTTTCAAACTACTGTTGGATGTATCCTATGAGCTAAGCTAATCCTTTAATAAATGAATAAAATATGATGTCCTCCCCCTCTCCTTAGCAGCCCCAGTCTGCTTGGAAAGACAGCAGAATTGTTATTTACCTACTCAAGATAAATGCGTAGGTAGCATCTTTAAACATCTCTCCTAACCCTATTAGAGAAAGCTAGAGAAGGCAATTTTCTGTTATATGGAATGAAGTATGTTTAGAAATTTTAATAAATTAAATATAAATATTTTGCTTTCCTCCCAAATGATTATTTCACATTAGTGTAGAAGTTGCTGCTAAGTAATTAAGAGTTAAAGTAGTGTTCACTGTAATTTCTTCATAGCACAAAGATCTCATTAATCCTTCAATTACTACTCCTTTATAGCTAACAGACATACTCACTCAACAGGTGTACTTTTTGAGGGATTTTTCTCCCTTAAAGCTATCTAGAGCTTTCCATTGGTGTTTTTGAGGAACTTATGAATGAGTCTCCATAATAGCACAATTAAATATTCTGTGTTCTCTGTGTGGAAGATGATTCTGTAGGTCTGCTCCCAGTGGAGCATGGATGTTTCTCTAGCAATCGTGATGGATTTGCTCTGAATATCCATCTTCTCTCACTTGAATCCCCTGTAACAACTGCATGAGTTTACAAGATGGCTAATCAGCATTAGAAGTGCAATCTGTGACTGCCAAAGGGGGGGGGGGGAAGAGAGAGAGAGAGTAAGAGAGGGAGGGGGAGAAATTGCCCTAGTTAGACAGGAAACACAGCAATAAGTTTAACTTTGTTAGCATGGCATTCTAACTAGTAGACCTAACTGGCTACCCCAGGAATTTGTCCTCTGCATTTTCTAAGAAGGAAGTAATGCAATGCATATATTCTATTTATGATGTGTCCTTACATGTCATGCCTCATGAACAAGCACATCCACATAAATCTGAATTCTTCATCCCCCTTTCAGTTCTTTCTTTTTAAGTTGAGATCTGACATTACATAGCATAAAATTCACTGTGTCTGTGTCTGTGTGTGTATATACATACATATACATATATATACATTTTTATGTATGTGTGTATACATACATGTATGTGTATGTGTGTGTGTGTGTGTGTATATAGATATATACACACACACACACACATTTTAAAAAACATTTTTTTGTGTGTGCTGGGGCTAAAACCTAGGGCCTCTGCTATAATAGACAAATACTCTACCACTGAGTTACGCTCTCAGCCCTAAAATCCACTCTTTTATTATTTTATATTATTACTATTTTTTTTTCTTTAGGGGTATTTAACCCAGTGGTACTCTTCAACAGAGCTACATACCCAACCCTTTTTGCTTTATTTATTTTTGGGTACTGGGGGTTGAACTCAGGAGCACTCAACGGCTGAGCCACACCCCCAGCTCTCTTTTGTATTTTATTTAGAGACAGGGTCTCACTGAGTTGCTTAGTGCCTAGCTTTGTGAGGCTGGCTTTGAACTCGTGATCCTTCTGCTTTAGCCTTCCAAGCAGTTTCAATTACAGGTGTTCACCATTGCGCCTAGCTCTTTTTATTTTTATTTTGAGTCAGAGTTTTTCTAAATTGCTGAGGCTGGCCTCTAACTTACAAAACTCCTGCCTCAGTCACCCAAAACACTGGAATTACAGGCATGTACCATTGCACCCAGCTAAAATTCACCCTTTTAAAGTAGTTTTTAGAATGTTCCTAAAGCTGTATAGCTATCATCACTATACCTACATCTATCTATCTATCTATCCTTATCTCTATCAATTTATCTCAAATCATCACTATAATTCCAGATCATTTTTATTACCCAAATCCATTTTCTCCAACTCCTGGTAAGAACTAACTACCCTTTGATTCTTTGTATTATCTTTTTTTTTGCTAGATGTTTTAATTACTCTTCAAATTCTTTCCTATCAGGGGCTTCAGGAAATAATTCTTGACTAATGTGCTACAACCTCATTCATGCATGTGTCATTTACCCCGAGTCCTTTTTTCCAAATATCCAAATTTTGTCTTTTTCCACTCTGGAGTTTATTTTCTTATGCAAGTCTTTGTTGGGAATGCTTTTTTGAATGCCATCTCAATCTTTAAAAAACAAAACAAAACAACAACAACAGCAACAAAAACACGTATACACAGACATAAACCACAAATTTTTTTCTTTTTAAGATAAACTTTTTTGGGGAGGGATTCATTTTCAGCATTTTCACCAGAAAAATCTTTCTACTGTGAATGTCCTGCAGGGATCATCCTTTGTTTCCCTGTGGAAGTGTGATCCACATACATACTCATTTCCTCACTACATAATTGTATTTGTGTCTGTCTTTCAGAATGCAGCTCTTCAGCATCTGTTTATTCGGAAGTCCTTCCGGCCTTTTAAGTGTTTGCAGTGTGGGAAGGCCTTCCGGGAAAAGGACAAACTGGACCAACACTTGCGCTTCCATGGGCGGGAGGGGAATTGCCCATTGACCTGTGATCTCTGTAACAAGGGCTTCATCAGCAGCGCCTCCTTGGAGAGCCACATGAAGCTCCATTCGGACCAGAAGACTTACTCTTGCATTTTTTGCCCAGAATCCTTTGACCGCCTTGATTTGTTGAAAGATCATGTGGCCATTCATATCAATGATGGCTACTTCACCTGCCCAACTTGTAAGAAACGGTTCCCAGATTTTATCCAGGTGAGTGTCTGCTACTGAGATTTATGTCTGCTTCCTTCTTTTGGTAAAAGAAACTGATTTTTTTTTAATGCCTAGCACCTGCATTTTCATAATTTCTTTGAAACAGCTTTATAATTGAGAACAATATTTTTTTTCAAACTACTTTTGATAAACAAGAGTATTATAACAATTATCCTGATCAGTCATTGGTATTTAAACATTCAAGTCATATTGCAAGTAAAAAGCACCCAGATCTGGTTATAATTTTTAAAATGTCTATTGTAACCTTGTTAACATCCATTTCTCATATATTACAGAGAATCTATAAAAGATATACTCCCATTTCCTGGAAACATCTTCCTACATTGTGGTTTCTTATCTTACTTTATAAGGTTATGCATTTTGGAAGTGAAATAAGAGAAATATATTAGTATTTAATAATTTTTTTTCAAGCACTGACTGCTTCCCTGTAGTATTTATTGTCTGTTGGAACAAAATAGGTGAAGATAAATCCCAAAATATTCATTATTCCATTTGGACTTTAAGTGTTTATATTTTTATATGCTAGTCAGTGAATAATTAAATAACTTGTAAAAATACACTTATTGAAATTCCCAAAGCACAAGTAGACTAGGATTTAATTATAGTTCTACTTGTGTTTAGTCTTAGAAATTTTCATACTTCACACGAACAATTATAAAGTTTGCTAAGGCAGAATTGAAACTCCAAAAATAATGAAGCAAAATGTCTTATAGGAATAGTTTCATCTGACTCACGACTTAGTTATACCCATAGTTCTTTCTCATGTGATTTTGATGGCTGTAAGTTCAGAAACTATATTCTTTTTTGGGGGGTGAGGGTATGCTGGGAATTGAATTGAGGATGAAGCTATATTCTTTAATTAAGGTTATCTAAAAGCAAAGAGAATAAGTCCAAATTTAGGAGAAATGACCCCAATGTTGTAATCATATATAGGTAATGTTTTCTTTGTTATCTAATTCATGTATTTAATTCTTCAGAAACTAATATTTTTGTTTGTTTGTTTCAGTGCTTGGGGCCTCATACATGCTAGGCAAGTGCTCCACCATTTGAACTATATATCCCCAGCACTATCCAGAACCTGATTTATAGGGAGATGTAAAAGGATCATTTACTAAAAGGGGCTAAATTGCTTCAATATGTGTTGAAGGCAGAAAAAAAATGAGGAAGAATTATTTTTTGTCTTCTCATAGATTATATTAGCAAGATTTATTCAAACCTAAAGGAACCCTGCTTAGTCTTAAAAAAAGAAAAAGAACATGGGCAACATTTTGTTCTACTCTTCAGGTCACCTGGGAGGTTAAGATTTGAAAGGTTTTCTGGCTTCTTGTTTTGTTTCTTTGTGACAGGGACAGTATGTGGTATTGAGGCCAATTATCACATCTGATTGGAAGTCATGGCCAGGTTGATGAAATCCATGGTAATGCTTTGGCTCCCTCTAGCGTTGATAGCTACCTTTGGTCATTTCTTTTGATGTCAGAGTCCCTGAGTTTTCCCGGTTTTTACTGCCAGGTGAAAAAACATGTGCGCAGCTTCCACTCAGAAAAGATCTACCAGTGTACAGAGTGTGACAAAGCCTTCTGCCGCCCTGACAAACTGCGACTCCACATGCTCCGGCATTCAGACCGAAAAGATTTCCTATGTTCTACCTGTGGGAAGCAGTTTAAGGTATGAAGCCAACAAACAGATTGAAGTGTGGTACTCACAGGCAATGGAATTATGTTAAGCTAAGGATACATGCCTGTAGCTAAGGGGTGAGGATATTGCTCCATAGTGGAATGCTTGCCTAGCATATGTGAGGCCCTGAGTTCTATCTCTAGTGCTGCCAAAAAAAAAAAAAAAAAAAAAAAAAACCTATTAATTTCACCAGTTTACCACTCACTTTTGAAATACTGGGCTTGGGATGAATTTTGGGCTTCATGTTTGACTTAGTTGTTTATAATATTGAAGGTCATCACAATTATGTTTGGTAACACACATACAACAAGATATAAGCTTTGAAAAGTACTTTCTCTTCACATCCTATACAAATATACCCTATTTATATTAAGGAAAAAGCTTACCTTACTTTATTTTTTTCAAAATAACTAATTCAAATCCTCAAATAGACTAATAATGCATATCCTGAAAGAATCCAAATGTATATTAATTTTAAGAGCAAATGTATACTAAATTGCTCTTGAGGAATTCCTGAGGTCAATACATTTACATACCACTCAAATCAAGAGATTTTTATTGAACACTTATTAAGTATTAAAAGCCTGTAATTGAGCTCATAGGTAGTAGTACTCTCATCTAACAGGTAGGAAATGTGAAGAACATTGAGAAGGTGAAAGCTACTTTGGAGAATGTTAATGATTAAAGTAAAAAATAATAAGTATCACTAATCTCCTGGAATTTAGAAGACAACAAAGAAAAGCTAGCAGGAGGCTCAGAGATAAGAGTTGCATAAATAAATGTGAAAATAATAAAAATTATATATATATATGCAGAAATGTATGTATGCAGAAATCAGGCAATTCTACAGAAATGTTATTGAGAGACACTATCGAATATGATTGTTGATCACAGTTCATAGAAATTGGAAAATAATTTCCAAGGGAAAACTCAGGTTATATTTGTATAGGATGTGAAGACAAAGAGAAACGGAAAATACCTTTAAAGCTATGTCTTGAGGTATGTGTGTTACCAAACATAATTGTGATGACCTTCGATATATAATAACATAGTTTAGAACTGTGTAGGGGACTCTAATGTGAAAAATAAAAGTGGTCTGGGTTTTATCTGCTTTCTTATATATTTATGGTGCTGGTTACCCTTTTCATGCTAGATTCATTTTAATACCTATAAATATTAAAAAAAACCTTTCTGTTTTAATTTTCTCCTTTAATTCACACAGTATATTAGATAGGGTTCAATCAGCAAGGTAAAACTACCATAATTTTATAGAATAAGGAATTTTCTTAAAGGATAAAAAATTAATTATAGGAGAGGTTAGAGGAGTTAAGGGTCTGAAGGGAGAATTTGGGGAATCAGAGAAGTCTCCAGCACAACCTCTGAAGCACTGCTGTGAGTGGACAAATGGCAGCTTACCTGGGAATCTGGGTACTCAGGCACCTCCAACTGCAAGGTGGGCTCAAAAAGGAGAGTTGGCACAGTCCATGGAAGTCCATTGTGGCTGCATCTGGCAGCCTGCTTGGAATTGACCAGCAGGGTCAGGAAGAGAGCTGGTGGCTGAGTGGGAGGGAGAGAGGATTAGTGGGAATCCATTGGCACCTCCATACCAATACCACCTCCAGGTGGCTTTGTTCCTACCTCCCAATCTGGTGCCAGTGTTTCTTTTGGCTAATTCTAACCTGGAACAATGCTTGGAAGGGGATTCCATTTAAACACAGTTCATCTTAGTCAAGTTGACACACTGCAAAGCCACCATATACCTATACTATATTTTTTCAGATTATAACTGGCATAATTTTTCTGAAGAACCAATCTGATGTCATGACCCTTCTGAAAAATCCTTTAATAGCTACTCATACAGATGGATCCCAAAGCTCTTGCCACCTAAAAGATAGTATAAGATCTGTTTTCTCACTGTTTCTCCAGTTTCCACTTTACTTTGCACTCTGGCTTTACGAATTAGTTGGATCCGCTTCATCATGGGGTACTGTCTTTCCCTGGGCCCTTACATTTGTTCCCCCTCACAATCCCTGGCTTTAAATAAACTTTCAGACTCTTATCATTTCACCTGGCTAGTGTCACTTCATTTGAGACATTTCTTGGTCCCTGGGTTAAGTGTTTCTTCTATGTATTCCCATAAGACCTTTTCTTGGTGTCCCTAATACTTGTGTATTGCAACTGTCTGTCCTGCTAACTGTAATTTCCAAGGGGGCAGCATATATATAAAGATAAGGTAGGACTTTCTGACTTTAGGGAGTGTACACCTTAAATGTAAAGTCAGACATTAAAAATATTATTGATGCCAGGCGCAGTGGTGCACGCCTATAATCCTAGCTGCTCGGGAGGCTGAGGCAGGAGGATTGTGAGTTCAAAGCAAGCCTCAGCAAAAACAAGGTGCTAAGCAACTCAGTGAGACCCTGTCTCTAAATAAAATACAAAAAAAGGGCGAGATGTGGTTCAGTGGCCAAGAGCCCCTGAGTTCTGAGTTCAATCTCTGGTAGCCAAAAAAAAAAAGAGAGAGAGAGAGAGAGAGAGAGAGAGTGTGTGTGTGTGTGTATTTGATATTACAATAAAAGAAAGGACAAAGTGCTGAGGGGAATTCATAGATGAGCTGATATTTTTTATTTTCCAGTACTGGGGATGGAACTGCGGGTTTCATACATGCTAGGCAAACATTCTGCACTGACCTACACCACCATCCCAAAGTGACACTTTTGGATTCACTAAAGGATGGGGAAGAGTTTGCCAGCTGAAGAAGGGAAGTGGATGAGGAACAAGGGAGGAATGAAGACGTGCAGAGCAGAGGGAGCAGCAGGGACTAAGGAGATGAGACGGTGAAAGGTAGAGTGGGTGAGGCACATGGGAAGAGGCTAGTGGTGGGATGAAGCCAGAGAGGTAAGTTAAGCCAGTTTATTATGCTGAGTAACCAAAGTTTTGGTGAAGGGAGCCAGAGGCTTTTTGGAGTAGAGCTTAATCTCAGGCAGAGGCTGTGGACAGGAAGAAGAGAGTCCATACTGAAGGCAGACATTGGAAGGAGAACTCCCAGGACCTTGGGTCTGGGTGAGGGTGAAGGAGGGAGGGTGGATACCAAGGAGGTACATATGGGAAGGAGAGAGAGTGGGGAGATAACAAATCTGGTTTTGGAGATTTTGGGATGGAAAGGAGCCATGGAGATTTGATATTCAAATCTCGTCACTATAAACATGACATGATATAGTATTAATATGATATGATTTATGATATGATATAGTATTAGCTTTGAGATTTAGGAAATTATTTGGTTAAGGGGAATTGGTCTGTTAAAGGGAATAGATGGGAGAAACATTTGAGATTGATGGTCAGGAAAAAGTGGAAAGGCAATGGTTCTTTATCATTGTATCTGTACTGAGAGAAATATTGTTATTTAAAGCAGTGTCTTTAACCCATTTTTTTTTTTCTGAGTATTTAACCCAGGGGTGCTTTACCACTGAGCTACATCTCCAGCCATTTTTATTTTTTATTTTGAGACAGGGTCTTGCCAAGTTGCTTAGGCCTTGCTTAGTTGCTGAGGCTGGCTTCAAACTTGCAATCCTCCTACTTCAGCCTCTTGAGTCTGAAATTAACAGGTGTGCACCACTACAACCAACCTTAACCCAAATTTTACTGCAGACTAAGAAACTCTGAATATTCTCTCCTGGGCGTTCCAGGAATGAGAGGTGGTAGAACAGGAAGAAGAGCAGTTATATCCATAATAGAAGAAGTGAAGGGTACCTCACATTGGAACTCAGTATCTAGCATGATTCCTGATACTTGGTAGGCACTCCCAGAATATTTGTGGAATAAATGTGCTGGAAAAATGAAGTGTTAAAAAAATTCCCTGTTCCAAAAGATGGGAAGAATTATTTTTCTTTTCTTTCTTTTTTTTTTTGTACTAGAGATTGAACCCAGGGGCTCTCTACCATTGAGCTATATCCGCAGTTCTTTTTATTCTTTATTTTGAAACAGGGTCTTACTAAGTTGCTGAGGCTGCCCTGGAACTTGTGATCCTCCTGCTTTGGCCTTCTGAATTGCTGTTGATTATAGGCATTCACTATTAAGCCCAGCAGAAATACTGTTGTTTTTTTTTTAAATATATTTTTAGTTATTGACAGACCTTTATTTTATTTATTTATTTATATGTGGTGATGAGAATCAAACCCAGTGCCTCACACATACCAGGCAAGTGTGCTACCACTGAGCCACAGCCTCAGCCCCAGAAGTACTAGTTTTATAGGAAGATTAAAAATCTTTACAAGACTAATAACAGTTTAATGATATTTTAAAGAGCAGAGAGCCCTACTGGATAAGGGACTTGGCAATTGTTGAATTTGTTTTTATTCAGGATGTGTTCAGCTAATTATCTCTCTTTGGCCTCATATCAGCATGATGTCTACCTGTAGTGGACAGTACATTTGAACTTCTAAGTCCACAAATGGAGAGATTTCTTACCTAAGTTCATTTGCGATTTAGAAGGAAATCATTATGTTTGTTGAAATGTATGGCTTTTGTAAATCCAGTATTGCCTATCCTTCGTTATCAAAACTATAAGTTTTGTTTTGTGGTATTGGAGATTGAACCCAGTGCTCTAGCACTGAATGACATTCCCAGCTCTTTTTGAGGTAGGGTCTTGATAAGTTGGCAATTCTGGCATCAAATTTGTGATCCTCCTGCCTCAGCCACCAGAGTTGATGGGATTACAGATGTGCAGCACTGCACCCAACTTGTCTTATAGTTCTTAATACCTAACTTACTCCATGTACCCTTTGTCTCTACATAAATGTGAAATCTTTCCTCTCAGATATCAGTATAATACATATTTGGTGGCCACTTTAAACCAAGGCTCATTAGAAGACACTAATTTGCTGGTGAACAGATTCCTAGTCACTTTTGTCCCAACACTGTAGCCACTCAGATGCCTCTGAGTGAGTTGTGGTGATTGATGATTTGTATCGATATTTTCTATTATTCCTTCAAATAAAAATGTTTTACTCTCACTCTTATTCCTTTTCCAAAACTTCTTTTCAATAGCGAAAAGACAAACTACGGGAACACATGCAAAGGATGCATAATCCTGAGAGGGAAGCCAAGAAAGCTGACCGTATCAGCCGCTCCAAGACCTTCAAACCTCGAATCACATCCACGGACTACGACAGCTTTACCTTCAAGTGCCGGTTATGCATGATGGGCTTCCGGCGACGGGGCATGCTGGTTAGTGCCAGATGGAGGCAGGTTCCTGACTCCAAACCTCATTTTTGTCAATGATGATGGCTTTGGTATTTTTATTCTGTACTAAGTTATGTTTGTCAGTAGCTTTTATCAATAGCTAGGGGAAGAAACAGGTTAATAGTTCCCAGTTTGGAGTTTTCTTCTTTCCAATCTGCCTTTGCCCTTCAGTACCACTTCTTAGATGACACCTCTTCCTCTTTTTTTTTGTAGTACTGGGGATTGAACCCAGGATTGCTCTACCACTGAGATACATCGTCAGCCCTTTTTAATTTTTATGTTGAGACAGGGTCTAGCTAAGTTGCTGAGGATTGCCTCAAACTTGTGATCCTTTTGCCTTCTGAATAACTGGGATTATAGGTTTGGACAACTGTTCCTCTCTTGGGTGACCTTTAAAAGAGGTCTTTTTCTGCCACCATTTTTTTTTTTTTTTTTTTTGGTGCGCTAGGGTTTGAACCCAAAGCCTCATGCATATTGAACTTGTGCTCTGCCATTGAGCCACACACCCAGCCCTCTACCACTTTTCATTACCAGTTTTGTTTTTTTAACCCTTCTTAATCCTTTTGCTCTGGTCCTGTTTTATTTCCATCCTTCTCTTTTGTGTTCCTGAATATTATTTTTGGCAGGATTTTTGCCTCCTCCCCAACTGTCCTCCATTTTTGATTCTTTTTTTTTACCAGCTAGGGAACTGCAGCAATGGGAGAAAACTCTCCATCGAAGCAGGGTATGTGGTTCCAGACTAGAGGCAATATCAGGATAGTCATTTATTGCTCTCAACTTATTTTGACTTTGTAACTGTTGCAGAAAATATTTCTGCAAGAGCTAGAGAGTCATAGGACAATATTCAAAATTCAGAACCTTACTTTGTATCAATTCATTCAGTGTTCTCAGTAAAGCTAGGGCAACTAAATTCCAATGAAAGACAGGTTTGCATCAGGAGAATTCATGGAAGAAATTCATGTTCATGTGATTTTCCTTTTTCTAACAGTATTTCTTTTAGGTAGAGACTATTGATGGGACCTGGAGTGACCCATTTCCCCCTCAGTTATTTGCCAAGTTATTAGCAACTATTAACATGCTTTGGTATCAGATGGGTCTGATGATGTTGGTTCTGGGCAAATACCTTATTATTTTGAGGCACTGTGTCAGAGAATTTCAACTTCTAGCACTCGTCATCAGAGGCATTTATTTAGCTTTTGTCTGTAATGGGGTCTCTTTCTCATTTGTTCTTTCTTTCTTTTCTTTTCTTTTTTTTTTTTTTTTTCCACTTTAGGTAAATCACTTATCAAAGAGGCATCCAGACATGAAGATAGAAGAAGTGCCAGAGTTAACTCTACCCATCATAAAACCAAATCGGGATTACTTTTGCCAGTATTGTGATAAGGTAAGGTAAGAGCAAAATATCCTTCCTGCTGTGCCACTGTGGGAGCCCTGCTCAGAGCCAAGTGTGTCTATGTGTGTAAATATATACTAGTTACTCTTAACAGATGGTTCCCTGCTTCTTAGTAGTTTTCCATTCAGACCAGAAAGGGCTACAAATGCAGTTTCATTTTTAGCCAAATTTTTTTTTCTTAAGAATTTGTTTTTCTTATTATTTCTTCTCTCTATGACTTTTGTTACAAAAGAACAGGCTTGTTACCAAGAGCCTAGAATATGAATTCATTTTATTCCTAAGTTCTTAACATGAGAGTATTTATCATCTTACTTGTAAATATGTGGTAGATTTCTAGAGGACTGAGTGGAATGTGAAAAAGTTTGTGATGGTAGAGTACTCTACTTGTACTATTTCATTCTTAATTTTTGTGTAGTTACAAAAAAGACAGAAAGAGAACATAGTGATTATTATAATAGTGTGTATAATATAGCCTTGTAGAATGTAGTTATGTCAGATTAAAAGTAAAGAATATGATTTAAATATAGAGTCCCTACCAAAGCTACTAGTTGCTATTAAACTTGCCATTTGAAGATTCTTTGGTTCCTAGTAGTTGGTCACATACATCATATGAGAGCTTTTACAGATAGACTAAAGGATGTACTGGCCTTAAAAACGAATCTCTATTTCTTTATGTCCTCCTTTTGAGCTTTCAGGTAAAGGATATTTTTATAGTTAAAATCTTAGATATATACAGAAAAATTCAAGGAAGATGCCTGGCATATCTGTAGTATTTACTTGTTTTATTCTGTGTATTTATGTATATTATTCTTCAGAAGATCTGTTAATATATTTTCTTTGGGGCATTATCATTTTTTTTTTTTTTTTTTAATTTCCTTAGAGTGAAATTGTTAGTTTGCTTTAAGCAAGAAAAAGGAATTGTACACTGCTTTCATGGCAAAGTATTTGAACTTACAGGTTTATAAAAGTGCCAGCAAGCGTAAAGCCCATATTCTGAAGAACCATCCAGGAGCTGAGCTCCCACCAAGCATTCGGAAACTTCGTCCTGCTGGTCCTGGAGAGCCAGACCCCATGCTGAGCACCCACACCCAACTGACGGGCACCATTGCCACCCCTCCTGTCTGCTGCCCTCACTGCTCCAAGCAGTACAGCAGCAAGGTATGGCACCACCTTCTGACCACATCTGACAGCAAAACCTCTACATGAGGTTTTCATGTCTTAACAGAAGGTGACTACTCATCCAGGTGGCCGAGAGGTCTCCTTTCTAATTGATGGGGGATTGAAAGAGACGTCATTCTAGTCCCTGTAAGCACTGAATTCTCAGTGCTACTCCTTCACTGCAATATTATCAGAACCTCTAGGGTAGCTCCCACAGTGATGAGTGGGAGGAGAATGTTGTACACTCCTAGAGTTAGTGCCTGAACACTTGACTGTTCTCCTCTGCCCTTGGCATGTTGAGGGTCTCAGATTTGAATATTCTGCACTCATAGTTTATAAGCTTAGGCTTATGGAAGCATTATGTAGGAACTGAAATGGTGGTTCTTGAAAAGGGGGTCATTTGTGCTGGTGATGGGGATTGTGACTGATTATTATGGATATTAAGGGGGTGAGGGATGCTGTGAAGATTTTGGACTTGCCTGATGGTGTAGGATCATGTAAGTTTTTACTTTTCCACCTACTTTTTTTCTTTCACTTTCATATCCTTATATTACTTTTGGAAATGCAGGCATAGAGTTGGTGTTGCTCTGATTTTTCATTTTATTTTAATTACTTAATTAACTTGAAAGATGGGGTTAACTATGTTGCTTAAGCTAGCCTCAATCTCCTAAGCTCAAGGGATCCTCCTGTCTCATCCACCCAAGTATCTGGGACTACAGGAGTATGCCATGGAGCCTGTCTGATTTTTTATTTTGTAAGGGCACAAAATAAAAGACCTTCAGAAACATTGGATGGTTTGCATATGAAAAGGATTAAAAACAACTAATTTTAGTAATTATTCTTGATTTTTTTTCTTAAATTTTTCAGACCAAGATGGTCCAACATATTCGAAAGAAACATCCAGAGTATGCTCAGCTTCCCAACACCATCCAGACGCCCCTGACCACAGCTGTGATCAGTGCTACCCCAGCTGTTCTGACAACAGATAGTGCCACTGGAGAGACTGTGGTGGTAAGTATATGACTAGGAGAGCGTTTAACTTCCTTTGATGCCCATCATATTTATAAATACTCATCTTGTTATTTTAATTGGCTGCAAATAGAGCCCATTATCATTCAGTTTGCTATATAAGGCATTATGCTTGTGATTGGGTCTCCTAGTCAGTGTTTTCCAAAGCTCTCTGTCAAAGAAGTAGCAAGGAATTCTCAGTGTTACTCCTTCATTGCAATATTATCAGAATCTGTAGGGTAGCTCCGTTGAGCAAGAGATAGACACTCAGGATTATTTTGTAGTTCCATGGTCCATTGGCATGATTAATTAAATTTTAACAGGATTTAAGAGCACTGAAAGAGCTACAATCAGTAGTTTATCAACTAAAGTGTTCTGTGTGATTTTTCTAGACAACAGACCTGCTAACCCAAGCGATGACAGAATTGTCTCAGACCTTAACAACTGATTACCGAACACCACAGGGAGACTACCAGAGGATTCAGTACATCCCTGTATCCCAGTCTGCATCTGGGCTCCAGCAACCTCAGCATATACAGCTTCAAGTGGTACAGGTGGCCCCGGTACTGTGTGACATTTACTTCTGTTTATCTTTAAAAGCATCATATTGCTGTTAGCCAAGATGGTAGCTAGAGTCAATGAAAGCACCCAGGTCTCAGAAATGGACATGGGCTCTACATAATGTGCTTCTGTATGGAAATTCTGGATCTGGGGAATTTGTAAAACACCATTGCTACTGTCCTTCCCAGGGTGATGCAGGCTCTGGACTTGGCAGTGTAAAAGATTTCTTTCTATCCTAGTCAGGAGATTTTAGGCTCTAGCATACATAGTGTGCAGGTACTAATGACACCTAGCCTCTTATGAATCCTTGTGCTGTAGCATCCAGGTTGACTACTTGATAATGCACTAGTTTGATTAATCCCTATTTGGGTATCAAATGGCTTGTATCATTTGAGAGGTTGTAAAATATAATTTTGATTCAGTCTATGACTATTTATTAGTATCTTTTTAGTATAGAATTTTAACTATGTTCTTTCTACTAGATAATGAATAGCTCATTCTTACTCATTAGGGAGCAAAAAGAAGAAATCCTCTCAGAACTATTGTTTATTTATTTGTGTGTTTGTTTTGGTAGTGAGGCTTGAAATTGGGTGCTTTACCATTGAGCTACATCCTCAGCCTTTTATTTTTTTGAGACAAAAGTCTTGCTAGGTTGCTGAGGGCCTTGGTAAATTGCTAAGGCTGGCTTTAAACTTGCAATCCTTCTGCCTCGGCTTCCTGAGTTGCTGGTATTACAGGAAGGCACCACTGTGCCTGGCTCTTTCCTTCGCTTATGCTGTGAGAATGTATATTCAAAACACAAATGGACTTGTTGCTTTGAAATCAGCTGGTTTTGAAAATTTAAAACCAACATGGAAGTTACCACTGTCATTCACTATTCTTTTTTGCTTTTGCAGCACTGGGGATGGAACCCAGCGCCTCATGCATATTAGGCAAGTGCTGTACCACTGAGCTACATGCTTAGCCTTTTAAATTTTACTTTGAGACAGGATCTCATAAATTGCCTAGACTGGCCTTAAATTTGGAATTCTCCTGTTTCAGCTTCCAAAGTAGCTAGGGCTAGGATTACAGGCATGTGTCACTGTGCCTGGCAACGATTCTTTACTCTTTTTTCCCCCCACATGGAACAGTTCTTGGCTTTATGCTAAGAATCTATGAGGCCCTGTAGTTTTGTGTTAAACATGATGTGAAGAAAGGTGAGGTGGTGCATGCCTATAATCTCAGTGACTAAAAAGTCTGAGGCAGGAGGATTGCAAATTTGAGACTATCCTCAGCAACTTAGTGAGATCCTGTATCAAAATAAAAACTTAAAAAGGGGTGGGGATATAGGTCAGTAATAGAGCATTCTCAGGTTTAATCACCAGTATCACAAAAGAAAAGAACAACAACAACAAACATTCCCATGATATGTATATATATTGACTCTGGAAAAAGGGGCCAGCAATACTTTGGCTAGATTTTCAAACATGTTTGTGATATGTAAAAGGTCAGGGACCACTGTTTTAGTGGGTCTGAACATAAAAAGCACTACTGTTATCTTCATTTTTCAACTGTTCTAATTAAGACTACTATTAAAATGGGCACCCACATTTGGAAATAATTATTGGCAGATCTTTTAAAGTAATTCTTTTTTAATGAATAGCCAAGGATTTCACGTATAATTTTGTACCCAGAATCATACAGTAGGTTGGCAACATTTAATTTTAAAGGGAGACAGTATCAGTATAAAATATATTATTTTTCACTAAAGCTTTAGTATACATTTTATACTGATGAATTTATTATGATTAAGAGGCACTTCTCTCAAGACACTATAATAGTTTTGTGTATAACTGCTCATAAAATGTGGGATTTCTTGGGCTGGGGTTGTGGCTAAGTGGTAGAGCACTTGCCTCACATATGTGAGGCACTGGGTTCAATTCTCAGCACCACATATAAATAAATGGATAAAATAAAGGTCTATCAACAACTAAAAAAATGTGGTATTTCTTATAATTTTTTGTTTTACTCTTGGAATAATACTTTTTATATTGCTTTTATAGATATAGTTACAAGAATACCTAGTGATAGCATATACCAGGTAGTGATAAACTAAAAGCAAGTTCTCTTCCTTGGTCTCTTTTAACTGATAGGACACTAAATTAATGAAATTTAAAGGAAAAACATTGTTGGTTTCTGAGAGATTCTCATGCAGTTTATTACTGATATTATTATCATCATCTAATTATTATATTATAGCACTGGTGATTAAACCCAGGGTTGCTCTACTACTGAACTACATCCCCAGCTCTTTTCACTTCTTTATTTTGAAAGAAGCTCTTGCCAAATTTTGAGACTGGCCTCAAACTTGCTCCTTGTCGAATAGTTGGGATTACAGGTGTATACCACTGCACCCAACTGTCATGTAGCTTATTATTACGAACCATATTTTTCTTTCTCCTTGTCTTCCAGAATTTTAGTACCTTATATTTTAGAAGCATTTTTAGAATTTTAATCCTGGACAGCTTGGCCCTCTGGGAGTGCAGTGTACAGCATTAGATTCTGAAGTATCACTTATTCTTCTATTGGGACATTATTTTTAACTGAACTTTTTCTCTGGTAAGATTTCCCTTAACCTCAAGTGATATATATTTGGTTTCTGGGCCTGTTTTTTTCTCCCACCAGGCCACTTCCCCTCACCAGTCTCAGCAGTCCACTGTGGATGTTGGACAGCTCCATGATCCTCAGACCTACACACAACATGCTATCCAGGTGCAGCACATCCAAGTCACTGAGCCCACAACCTCAGCCCCGTCATCATCCCAGGTATCTTCTCTATGGACTGTTCAGAGGAGTTAATGTGGCCTCAAGGACCATAAGGGAACAGTAAAGACATTATCCACCACTACTGAGATTATGTTGTTATTTTTGGACCTCAATTAATAAGTCTTACCTTTGCCTCCAATTTTTATTTTAGTAAGGTGTATCCAGTTGCATTAAGTTATTAACTTCCCCTGTCCCTGTGGAACCCTGTGATATGATATCCTAGAAACAGCACTAGCTTTTCTTCTCATTTTAAATGGCATTGCTAAATTGCTTCTATGATTTGGAACAATGACTTTGTGGAGTACTACTCTGTATTGTGTTTGCATGATTGAGTCTGTCACTGAGATATTAAGTAAGCATGGGAGTAAAGAGGAGAGGGAAGTTATATATAGCAGACTATGTAGAAATTATGTGTGGATGTGGTCTTTGAATTAGGTCTTGAGGGGGTATAGAAGCATTGTGATCTGCATAAGCTCAAGTTGTGAGTAAGAATACAGAGTTGTGAAATTGTGGTATATTAGAGGAAACTGAGTGATTCTATTTAGGAATGGGAAATGATGTTTGGAAAGAAAGTAGGAAAAGTAGCTTGGAGCTGGATTCTGGAGGACCTTGAATGGCAGATGACAGAGAATGGTCCTATCTGATAGGAGTAAGCCTCTACACCAGATGTCTGAATGCGTCCCTGTGTTTCACTCCACAACCAGGGTGGGATTATTTAGCACAATTTAATGGAAATTGTGATCTGTGGGTTATATTTTCATTTGGATCCCAGATTAGTTTTGTGACATAGGCAAATTATTTTACTTCTCATTTCTTTTAATCTTATATAACATATGCAATTATGCTTTCATTCATTTACCTAGAAGGTTTATTGAAATTAATTTTTTTGGATACTTCTGTAGATTATCTTCTGAAAACAAATTAGAATTTCAGGGTTTTGATTGCTTTTTTGTTCATTCCATTCTTAGTTAAAAATATTAGTACTTTAGCAGTGATATACTTTGGCTTATAAAATTCATATTATTCTGCTTTATTTCCTTCAGTTATTTGCAGGTCTTAGATCTATAGAAATTTCATAATTTCCTGCTTTTGTTTTCTCCCTCTCCCCAGGTGGCTGGGCAGCCACTGAGCCCTTCCGCTCAGCAGCCTCAGCAGGGGCTCAGCCCCTCCCATATACAAGGCAGTTCTTCCACACAGGGGCAGACTCTGCAGCAGCAGCAGCAGCAGCAAAACTCCTCTGTGCAACACACGTACCTTCCCAATGCTTGGAATTCTTTCCGAGGCTACTGTGAGTGAGAAAAATGGGTACAGTGTTGTATATAGTTCATGGGCTGAACCATCTCATCAGCTTTATAATAGGTTTTTAGATTAAAATATCAATTGGGCATTTTTTTCACTCTATGGTATATATATTTGAATGAGTTTCATTACAAAATTCAAGGCAGCATTTTGATCTCAGAAAGCCAGTTTGATATAATGTTTTCAGAGACATTAGGTATGTTGATAAAGTAAGTATAGGTAGGTGACTTAAATAGAATAGATGAAGAGAGAATATGTCAATGGTAATGATTCATCCCTTCCATCAATAATTATTAAATATCTATATATTAATCACTATGCTAGACCCTGGGTATACAAAGATTAATGTTGACATTAATATCAGTAATGCTACACAATAATGTCAATGTCAACAATAATTTTTAAAATTTTGTTTTGGTACTGGGGATCTAACCCAGGGACTTGACTTTAACTTTACCACTGAGCTATATCCTAGTTCTTTTTATTTTTTATTTTGAGACAGGGTTTCACTAGGTTTCTTAGGGCCCTGCTAAGTGGCTGAGGCTGGCCTTGAACTTGTGACTCTCCTGCCTCAGCCTCCCAAACTGCTGGGATTATAGGCATGTGCCACCATACCTAGCTGTAAGCCAATTTTCATTAAGCTCTTAATGTATGCTGAGAATGATTCTAAATTATGTATATCACATTCAGTATTGACAGCAACCTACAAGATAAGTACAATTGTTAATTGCATTTTACCGATAAGGCAGTTTATACTGTATTTAGACATAACAACTTATCTAAGAGACATAACTAGTCACTGGAGAACTAGAACCCATGCTGTCTGGCTCCAAATCTTATACTCTAAATTATCCTGCTGTGCTGTTTCTCTTAATAAAATAGTCTTTGGGTCAAAGGGATCATCATCTGCTGGGCAGGGTGGCACACACCTGTAATCCTGTCTACTTGGGAGGCTGATGCAGGAGGATGTCAAGTTTGAGACCAGCCTCAGCAACCTAGTGAGACCCTCAGCAACTGAGTAAGATCCTGTCTCAAAATAAAAAATAAAAAGGTCTGGGGATTAGCTCAGTGGTAAAATGCTCCTGTGTTCAATCTTTGGTACCAAAAGAAAGAGAAAGATAATCATCTAGCAAAGGAAAAAAATATATATATGTAATGTATTATAAAACCCTGACATTAGTGTTATGGAAGAGTATCAGGTTAGCTGCCTGAAGTCAGAATAGGTAGAAATCAAGGTTGGAATGTAAACCTTGGGTGTGGGCTAGAAATATATGAGACTTTATTATGGAAAATGTGGAAGGAACAGGAAGAGAGATAACAGACCTTAATAGAAGCAAGTAGGAATTCTGAGCCCTAAGAAGCAGGGAAGTAGTGTTGATCTTTCTCCTACTATTGATGTCTTTTTTTGAGGGGCCCATCACTGTTATGGATGATCCATGGCTATATAACATAGATTTGCTGTGGAGTCAGATTTGAGCTCTGCCATTTAGTTATTTTGAAAATCTGTTTATTAAATACTGGTGGTTCCAATGAGGGCCAAATCTAGTTTCTGGTCATAGAAAGACACTCTGACTCCAGAGTAAATACCAATAGAATCCTGGGAAATAGACTGATGTTTATGGTTAGTTTAATTCCTATGAAACACAGTAAATGATAAAGATATCCAGCTATCTATGGTTATAAAGTATAAGCTAACATTCTAATATGAAGATAAGATTCTGGAACTGAAATTTTTTATCATAAAAAAATTCCAATATTATGCTTGGGTAGTACTCATCCTTTAGCTTTAGTAGTTACCAAGTCACATCCAGCTTCGTCTCTATCCCATCCTTCTCTCCCATCCTCCAACTCAATAATAATCCATTGTATCATTTCATCCATACATAGTTTAGTATATATCTCTAAAATGGAAAAGTTGACTGGACATGGTAGTACATACCTGAAATCCCAGTGACTCAGAAGACTGAGGCAGGAAGATTTAAGTTCAAGGCCAGCCTCAGCAATTTAAAGAGGCCCTGTTTCCAAGTAAAAATAGAAAAGTCTGGAGATGTAACTCAGTGGTAACATGACCCTGGGTTCAATCCCTATTACCAAAAGAAAAGGGAAAAAACCCTAAAATTAAAAAGTCTGGTGTTTTTGTTATTTGTTGTTGTTTGCATGTGTGTGTTGGGAGGGGGTGCAGTTTGTGCTAAGGATTGAACCTGGGGCCTTGCACATACTTAGCATGTGCTCTATAACTGAGCTATATTCCATTTAAAAAAAGACCATTTAAAAAAATATAACATTATCATAATACAACATTATCACACCTAAAAATAAATGACAATAATTCTTTAATCCCCTCAAATTTACTTCAGATATCCAGTCAGTATTCCTATTTCTTTGATGGTCTCAGAAATTAAAAAAAAAAAAACAAAAAAAACAAACTTTTGGTTTGTTCAAATTGGGTCAGAGGAGAACCAGACTTTGTCATTGTTTTTTTCCCTTGGTATTAGGGATTGCATCCAGAGGTGCTTTACAACTGAGCTACATTCCCAGATCTTTTTAATTTTTATTTTGAGAGAGTATCTCCCCAAGTTGCTGAGGCTGGCCTTGAACTTGTGATTCTCCTGCCTCAGCCTCCCAAGTCACTGGGATTATGGGTGTGCATCACCAGCCTAGCATATTGTTGTTGTTTAATATACTTTCTTCTGTCTCTTTTATTTCCTGTAGACTGGCCATTAATCTAGAGGCTTGACTAAGTTCAGGTTCACACCATACCTGGTGTGTGTCCTTTCATCAGGAGGCATACAGTGTTTGGTTGTCTCTCTTTTTGTGATGTAAGGAGTCATTGATGTTTATTCCTTAGCTTCATTGTTTTATTAGGGCTTATAAAGTAGTGATATTTGGATTCTATAATTCTTCTTCATTAATTAGTTGGAAAAACATTTTATCCTAATTACCAGATGACTCTTGAGTACAGATTGTGTAGGAAAGGGAGGATAAATGCTTTTGATACACAATTAATCACCTTCATTTAGCAGTTTTCAAAATAATGAGTGGGTTTTCTAGTGTGATGCAAGGTGACGAATGAAGGATATGTATATGTGTCTTAGTGTCATTTTGTACTCATGAATTACAACACATGACATATTTGAACCTACTGCAGTATTTTCCTTATTGATGTTCAGATTATTTCATTTTTGCCTAGCAGGAGTCTCTTCAAACTGTCTCCTGCATCTTTCTCATATGACTCTATAAGCCCAAAACATGATGTTCCAGGCTTATCTTACCCATCTTCTGCTCAGAGCTGGAATCATCCATTTTCCCGAGAATACCTAATTCCTTCTAGCAGAAAATATTATTCAGAGACTATCAACAGGGTGCTAGGGTAAACTTTGCTTTTGATTTTCTTTAATGACAATAATTCAAGTTGGATTTAGTTGTGATTACTATTTAGTTGTGATTACTGTGGATACATTTGTGCCATAAATTCAGACATGAATCTAAAAGCTAAAAATTTTGAGCTAAAAGATAAGCCTTTGTAATATATTTCCAGGTTTAAAAAATAGGTAAATATTTGTATTTGAGGATATTTGGAAGCCACATTTGAGTGGAGACGAATTAATTGTCTCTGATATTTAGTAGCTCTTTAGTAGTGCCTTATGATATGATTTATTCTTATCAGAGATACTTTCACTCTATCAAAAAAATCACTGCATCCCAAGACTCTCACAGCAAGGAGATCTATGGGAAATAGCTCAGTGGGGACTATGAGCACTGGTTAGGTACAGATGGTTCAACTACCATGGTTCAACTTAGGATTTTCACCTTAATGATGACGTAGAAGCATAATCATATAACCATTCTGGGAGTTTTGTTTTTATTTTTGAGATATGATCTCTTGCTGTGTTGCCTAGGCTGATTTCAAACTCCTGGCCCAAGAGATCTTCCTGCCCCAGCCTCCTGAGTAGGTGGGACTACACCACTATGCCTGGCTGTATTCTGTTTTTCACTATCAATGCAGTATTCTCTAATTTACATGAGATAGTCAACACTTTGTTATAAAATTGATCTTGTGTTAGATGATTTTTGCTCAACTTTAGGCTGTTATAAATTTTCTGAGAAAGTTTAAGTTAGGCAAGGCTAAGCTGTGATATAGGGGTTAGGTGTATTAAATGCATATATGATTTATCATGTTTTCAATGTGGGATAGATTTATTGGGATGTGACCCCCATCATCTAAATAAAGGAGCATCTGTATTTGTTTCTGGAACTTGTATTAAAAATTTGTATGTTTCCTATTTTCAGCATCTGAGATTCAAATGATGACACTTCCCCCAGGTCAGTTTGTGATTACAGACAGTGGTGTAGCAACTCCTGTCACTTCTGGCCAAGTGAAGGCGGTTACTCCGGTAAGCCACCCTGTCCAGAACACTTGTCACAATTTGGTCTTTATTTATTGCTTTATTCTATAGTTTCTCAGTAGATGATTTCTTGGAAGCTGTGTCTATCACTTAATCCTCTGCCTTGCTCTGGAAGCTAAACTATAGCAAATGCTTAACTAATAACTATAATGAGCCTCCTAGACCCATCCATACGATCACTTTTTTTTATACGCTTATTGGAAATATTGCAAGTCCTCAAAACTATTGGTCTTCAACTGGGCTGGGAGAGAATAATATAATGAATCAATTATGGAGCTATTTTAAATAATTTACCCACTCCAAGGTGAAAAACATTGCCATAATATTTAACTTTGGCAGGTACAATATTGATTGTACCTATTCCTTTTGTTCTTCATGTGTTTGTTCTGGTCTGCTTCTTACATTTTAGAAAGACAATACACAAATTTAAATTGAGAAAAATATTCTTGGGCTGAGTGTAGCTTGATGGTAGACGGCATGCTTAGCATGTGCGAGACCCTGGGTTTGATCCCCAGCTCCAAAAAAAAAAAAAAAAAAAAAAAATAGTCTTGGATTAATAAGTTCTGGAGATCTAGGGTACAGAGTACAGATCTAGAATGGTGACTATAGCTTATAGTAATGCATTGTATAGTTGAAAATTACTGAGAGTAGATTTTAAATGTTATCACCACATACACACAAAAAGGTAAACATATGTTGATGGGTATACTAGCTTGATTTTTTTTTTCATTTATGTTAGCTTGACTTAATTATTTCACAATGTATACATATATTAAAACATCAAGACTGGGGTTGTGGCTCAGCAGTAGAGCGCTTGCCTAGTGAATGTGAGGCCCTGGGTTCGATCCTCAGCACCACATAAAAAATAAATAAATAAAAACAAAGGTATTGTGTACAACTAAAAGAAATATTAAAAAAAAAACAAAAAATCATGTTATATACCATAAATATATATAATTTTATTTTTCTTTTATACCTTTAAGATGCTGGGAGAAAAAAAGAACAATACTCTTCAGTGGCTTAGGGACATTGGGATAATCCCCAAGGGAAGATTATTTCCCAAGAGGGTGGTATGGTTGTCTAGTTATCTCAACATCCTGATATTTTATTTTTATTTTTTGTAGTACTGGGGATTAAATCCAGGGGCATTTTACCACTGAGCTACATGCAAAAGCCCTTTAAATTTTTTTTTTTTTGAGACAGTCTTTTTAGTGGTTGATAATACTTTTCACAGATCTTGCGTTAGACTGGCTTTAAACTTGTAATCCTCCTGCCTTAGCCTTCTGAGTTACCCCTTCCTATACTCTTAATGTTAAAGTGAATATTTGATGGTAGGATATAATGACATTTTAAATGTCCTTACTAGGCAAAACAAAATTTTGCGACTAGTAATATTATTTTTAATTTTGCTGGTTTTTGAAGTCTTAAAATCTGGGAACCACTGATCTTGACTATGTGGGGGGCAGTCTGCTTCTTTAAGGATTCTTTATCACTTCTTTGATCCATTTTGCATTAATCCTAACATTTGATTGACGGCAATATTTTTTCTGAAATTCTAAGTTCTTAGGAACAGTACAAAAGTGCATATTTTCTTTGCCAGATAGGTTACTACCACGTGCAAATTTCTATATCTGAAGTTCTTCACTGTATCGTTTGGTAACAACAAAGGTAATTGTTGTTACCAAATGATACAGTGGTAACAACAAAGGTAATTCAAGTACTTCCTTGAATTATCATTGTATTCAGTTACTGTGACCACCCTATCCTCTCTAAAGGATATAGGTAAAGCATCTCTTATAGGTGTCTATTTTGGATCCCCTGTAACATTTCTTTGCATGTTTCCCTCTCCTCTCCTCTAGTAGCTCCTATTCCTCCCTCATAGGCTCTAAGTTTCTAAAGATCCTTCTTTTTCTGCTTTAGGGTCATTATGTATTATCAGACGGTCAAACAGAATTGGAGGAAAAGCAAACTTCTGCCCTTTCCAGTGGCGTCCAGGTTCAGACATCTGCACACAGTGACTCTCTGGATTCCCAAACCACCAGCCAACAGCAGACCACACAGTATATCATCACCACCACGACCAATGGGAATGGAAGTAGTGAAGTGCACATCACTAAACCCTAGTTTTCACCGTGGAGCTAGCGTGGAGCATTCACATCATGTATTTTCTCATTCATAAGTCTGAAGCTTCTGATACCCAGACCTGTTTTTTAAGATTTAGTATTCACTCAAAGAATTTGAAGACTACAATTTTGGCGTGCACACGCACGCGCACACGCGCGCACACACACACACACACATATGTGGGGATTATTTTGCCAAGGTCTTCATTACCAAATTGACTCTTCAAGCCCTCAGAGCTTCTGCCACGAAATGGAGATCTTTCAGGGGAAAGTAGATTTCAGGATGGAGAAACTTTGTCTTGCTCGAGTTGGTTTTTTACCATACTGATAAGCCTTACTTTCCTTCATGGAAATATTAAGTGGCATATTTGTGTTCATACCAAAGGTGGAGACAGGCTGTGCCAAGTCCATGGTCATTGGACTTCTGAATTCCAAGCCAGGCACCAAAGGAGAATGGGCATTTCACAGGTGTGATTTAAATCAGGACTTGTAAGTTTGAGTTTTCAGTAATTTAACAAAGGGAGCTTACTGGATAAGAAAATAAAAATGATGAGACAAAAGTTTGACAGTGGTGTTCTGAAGGGAAAACTGTCATTTAAAATTTTCTTATTGCTGACTTTCTTTTCTTTTTTCTTTTTTTAGATAGGGGTGTTGCTATGTTGGTTAGGCTGGTCCTGAACTCCTGGGCTCAAGTGATCCTCCTGCCTCAGCTTCCTGAGTAGCTGGGATTACAGGCAGGCCACCATGATTTTTTTTTTTTTTTTTAATTTTCATATATTAAAAGACTATGGTTAGTGGTTGATAATACTTTTCACAGATCTTGGTCCTCAGCAGATTAGGGCAGAACCTCATGTCCTGATAGTTCTTTCTTTATTATTTCACAACGGTGGGTGGACTCCCCAAAATAGAAAAGACTGCTAGATGTTAGCAGAATTTAAGCCCCTACATGAAACTTTTGCCTTCCATTCTCTGGTTGCAGTTGTATTAAGGGCATATTGGTACCAAGAGAATTTACCCAAATTAAAACTATTCTGTGGGGGCGGGGGGCGGAGAGGGGGACCTGAAACACTGTCCTGCCTTGCAGCATCCATTTATCATTAATTGGTAAAAGTTGAATTCCTTGTTCTTACCAAGTATACATTTAACTCCCCCTGCCACTCTTTTTTTTTTTTTTTGTGTGTGTGTGTGTGTGTGTGTGTGGTGCTGGGCTTAAACCCAGGGCCTCAAGCATGCTTGGCAGGTGCTCTAATAACTGAATTACACCTTGAGCCCCTACATTTAACTCTTGTTCACAGCATTCAGTGTATTTTAATACTTTCAATGCTGTCTTAAAATGAACATTCTTTAAAGTTGGATGGAAAGGTGGCCTTCCTTATTTCTAAAGACTTTTAATTTTAAACATATTGTAACTCATCTGGACCTTTTTATGAGATGACCAACTTCACACTTAGGGGGAAATTAAAATGCAGGGACCATTTATAATATATGAGGATAATATAAAGGATCTGGAAGAAATTGTCTCTTTATGAATATTATACTGTCAGGTGGGAGAGGAAATGGTTTGTCTTATATGTGTTCCTGTTTAGTAGGAGTCTTGTGTGCTATGAATTCAGTGGGGAAAAGTATTTACCCTCTTTTTACTGTACATTCCAATTGTACCTGTGAAACATTTCAGTCAGTACATATTTTAACAACATTTTGTGACATGCATTTTTAGAATAATTATTGTATAGTGAATTTATCAATCCAGATCAAGAAGACCTAAATACGTTTAAAATGAAGTCAACTAATTATTTTATTTATATTTCTGAGTGAAAACTGGTTCTATGAATTAAGAAGCATAGTAGCTTCTTTATGGTAAAGGTATCTTTCTGAAAAGTAAAAAGAATTCTTTTCTACTAACTTTACTAATATGTAGATCTTGCACTTTATTTTTGAGACCTCATTCACATAGCTATCTCTGAAAATTTGGGCACTAAGAGGACTTGAGAAAGATTCTTCAAAAATGTTTGGAAACTGAAAATGGACTTTCTATCTTTGGTAACAAAGAAGTAACATCGATATTTTCAACAGAAAACATTGACCTTGAGTCACAAAACGCAGACTCTAGTTCCCAAAGTTCCACAATGTAATGATTGTAAGTAGCCTATTGCCCTCTAGAAAGACTTGTTAGGAGGAGAATACTAGACTTTTCCAAAGGTCCAGTTTGGGTTTTTGTAACTTATATTTGGCCCTGTTGGGTTCTTTTTAATTTGATCCAGCAAGGAATCTTCCCTCTTCTCAGGAATAACTTATTGATTAAAATAAAAAATTATCACTGAATAGAATGTTCGTTTTATGCCAGTTATTTTAAGTTTTAAAATACACAGAGGAAGGTCTTGTTGAAGAACTTCGTCTCTTTCCCTTCTAAGTTTTTCCTTTGTCTTTTTTAGTCCTTATGTGGAATAAATTAAGACTCTAAAACTAACGTTATCAACCAGAGATGCAGGTGGCACTAAAGCCAAACAACATTTCTTTAGGATCAGGTATTGTGCACATTAATTCCAAGGTAATATTTTCAAAAGGACTTGGATTTGAAGAGATAGCAGAGTATAATTCCTCTGAAGACCTAATTTGGGAAACACGTATGTAGCCAATGTTTGTTTTGTGGCCACTCCCAAAACACACTGACACTGTAGACTTTATTCAGTGCAGAGTGATATTTTGGTGTAGGGTGGATATAAATTTTACATTTTTATTGTTTGATTTATACCCAAATAGACATTTCATCATGTAAAATTTCTGTTCTTCTGGAAAAAGTTTTTGTTTTGATCTTGAATTATTTTCTGACTTGGAATTATCCTTTCAGAAAAGTCTTAAGATAGCTAGGGCTAAAAAGCACTTCATGAGATGCTAAAGCTTACCCATTGGTTGAATATGTTGACCCTATCCTATTATTTAAATGTGAACATTTCTTGTACATTCAGTGAGTTATAGTGTTAATAGTCTTGTGCTATGCAGCAGGTGTAAAAATTAATAAATATTTTTTTTAATAAACATGTTTTTTGTTTGTATATATAAAGCTATAAGAGCTACTGAGATGGTTAAACTCTTTTTTTTTTCCTTTTAAATTTTACAATGTAATTTCTGGTTCCCAATCAGCATTTAAGAAGCTTGAAAGGTTGCTACTCCATCCTACCAACAAGTAAAAAGTTGAAGAAACTGAAAAATTAACAACTTTTTAAATTTATTTTTTTTTTAGAACAGGGATTGATCTCAGGGGTGTTCTACCGCTGAGCTATACACACAGCCCTTTTTACTTTTTTCTTTTGAGATAGGGTCTCTCTAAGTTGCTGAGACTGGCCTCAAACTTGTGATCCTCCTGCTTCAGCCTCCTGTGTAACTGGGAATATAACCATGTTCCATTACATAAGACTCAACAACTCTTCTTAGATTCATCAGAAAGTGAGGTAACAGAACAAACTGCCACCCTCAAAATTGGAGAGATTGACAAGTGAATGTAGAATCTCAAACTAAAATCAGCAGAAATCCACGAACAAAAAGGAGTATGAGCCTCTAAGGGAACCATTGCCAGGGTAGGAAACCCTGAAGTGTAATCAATGAATTGCTGAAAGCTCACTGTGTACAAGCCTGAGACACAAAAGCTCCAAGGGAACCCCATCATTGGAAGAGAAAGGGAATCCACATTTTTTGAGTTTTACCTCCATAAACTTGACTAGGTTCTCACAGTGAATGAGAAAAATTCCCTCAAGATCCTGGAGAGATAGGGAAGAAGGAACCCTTTTGAAATATAGCAGAGCACTACTTTTTTTTTTTTTTTTTTAAAGTTATAGATGGACACAGTACCTTTTTTTAAAAAATTTTTATGTAGTGCTGAGGATCAAACTCAGTGCCTCAAGCATGCTGGGCGAGCACTCTAGCACTGAGCCACAACCCCAGCCCCAGAGCACTACTTTTTTTTTTGGAAGATGGGCTTAATCATACTGTTCTCTTTATTTTTGTGTATTTGGGAGGATTTCCATAATAAAATATTTTTTAAATTGAGTTTTGTTTTGATAGTGTTATACTATAAAACATCCAAAATTTCCTGACAGAAAAATAGAATTTTCTGATGGACCATTAATTAGTACATTAACTTAAATCTTCTAACAGTTATTTAGAAACTGACAATGAAAAATAATGTTTAAAATATTGTACAAATTACTGTTACTATATCAATAAAAGACCACCAAAAGTTGGAATTTTAAGCCAAAAGCAGAAAAGTTTGATAAATCTAACATTAAATCTAGGTAAGGGTGTGCTCTAGAGTCATTAAGATCTAGGTGTGTATTCTAGCTCTGTTCTGTTAGTCCTAAATATTTTTTGGCAGATCATTTAATTTCTGTGAACCTCAGGAACCATGTCTATAATGTGAGGATAAGATTTCTTGATTAGAAAGCACTGACCACAGGGCCTAGCATGTGGTAAGTACTCAGTAAAGGATTCCAGTAAATCTACTACCCCATTTTGGTTTTAAATGCACATTTTTCCATATTCTAACATCTCTGAAATTGAGATGTATCCTATAATTGATGGCATTAATTCAAGGAGTTTTCCTTCCTTAGTGATATATAATAAGATAATGGAGCATTATAACAAATTGATAGCATCTAACATTCAATATAACATGGAATATCAATCATGATAAAGCTATATTCCCAATTTCTACTTTAAGACTATTCTGAATAATGATTATGATTTAAAAAAATTTCAAAAGCTGAGCCAGATATTTTCAATACATCATGAACAGAACAATTTTGAGACAATAATTTTGTAAAAAAATGGTTTATCAATTCCATTTTGTATAAAACATAAGAGAGAAACCTAGCCAATCAACACAAACTGTCACCACATGAAAAGGTACTTTATCAAACTTCGAGTCTAAGAACATACAAATGTTTCTTTTAGCATGTCTACAGTAATTGTCTATGCCTTTCCATTTAACTGTTTTTAAAAATTCCACATATCCCCACTGTTATCTTCTGTCCCAGTTACAGTACAATGACAGGGAGGTAGAGGGTTGGTTAAAACAACCCTCTAAGCAGTTTTCTGCTGTCCCTTCTTTCCAATCAGGGATTTGTGGATATGAGGGATCACACCACCCCCAGCCTTGATAAGAGAATCCAACTCTTCATCACCACGGATTGCAAGCTGCAAGTGACTTGGAGTAATAGGCTTTACTTTAAGATCCTTGGAAGCATTCATTACCTGCCAGCTCCAGCACCTCAGCAGTGAGGTACTCCAGAATCGCAGCACTATATACGGCAGCAGTGGCACCCACCCGTCCATGGCTTGTGGTGCGAGTCTTCAAGTGTCTGTGGATGCGGCCCACAGGAAACTGTAGTCCAGCTCTTTTTGAGCGAGAGACACTGCCTTGGCCTTGGCCTTCCCACAATCCTTTCCAGCTTTGCCTTCAGCCATGGTCTCCGCTGCCTCTGCCTTCTCTGGGCCACCCAACCACCCGCTGCCGCCCCAGCAGCTGCAGGCGCTCCCAGAGCACTCCTTCTTAAGAAGGCCTGTTCTCAGGAGAAACCAAGAAACCAGAGCTTAACCTTCAGGGGTTTTATTCAGAGCCAAACTGACTTGGGGAAAGGGAAATACCCAACTCCAGCTATTGGTAGCCATTCTTTGCTACCTAAGGGGAAAACTGAGAAGCATGTGTGAAGGTCAATGTCCAGAGACACAGGTGCACTAGAAGACTAAGGCCAATAATAGGGCTGTAGAAAATTTCCCCTCCTCTACTCCTTATTACATTATTAAAGGCTCACTTACAGAAATGCTTTGAAATCAATATACTATCAAAAAAATTTCCAGCTATCAAAAAATCAATATACTATCAAAAAAAAAAACAACTTTCCAGCTATCAAAAAAATTATAAGACATACCAAAATGCAAAAACCATAATTTAAGAGAGAACAATAAGTTCTTGTTTCCTAGGGTAGGGGAGAGGAAGCAATGCATAGGTGAAGCACAGATGATTTTTACAATAGCGAAACTATATTATATATATTATAATGGTAAGTCAGGTAGGCTCACCAGTTGTAAGAAATGTATCACTCTGGTGGGGTATTTTGGTAATGGCAGAGTATGCAGGTTTGGAATTAGGAAGTATATGGGAAATCTCTGATCT